CAGCTCATAAGGAAATCAAAGGAGGAGGCAGGGAATTAAATCATACAATTCAAGTAGGTTTAATTAATTATGTTGGTAATTAATAAGTGTTGGAATAGGTTAAGGGTTAGTATTTAAGTAGTTTTGTACTACGTACTATACTATTGTATGTGTCAATGTGTGTTATTATTCTAGCTATTAAGCAGACGGCATATGGTAGGTTATAGAGGATAGGATTTAGGTCAAAGTGTAGGGTGGCCTCAACAAGGTCAGGCTAGTTGGGTTAAACGGTGCGTCGGTGCAGGTTAATAGTCTTTCATGTGTACGTACAAGTATTGTGCGCAACTACATACATCAATAGATTTATATAAGCTAAGTCATAATTAGGTAAATAAAAGAAAACACGCAGTTGGTGTTTTCATGACCCCAACCACTATATAGCTCGTTTTATTTTGAGCTACTCTAAAACTAAAATTCCTATGAACATTATGCATGCTACCATGCCATATTAGAAAAGCAAGCGACACAATCAAGTTAATTGCTCACGATGATAATATGATATTCTAACCTAACTCTATATAGTTATTACTGTACGATATACGATCTTCAATCTCAATAAATCTTTGTCTTTGTGCCTCATCTCATGGACGTAACTAAAACGTTATTTGTGAATCACACACACAATGTCTGTGTACTCTTAATTATTGATTTACTTTGTCTTACATGCACTATTACATCAACCCCTCTACAACCTATATATTTAAACAGCTAAACAGCGATCCAATTCTGAAAATCCAGGTATCAACAGTCAACACCCCAACCTCCCCATGTTAAAGGCAAGATACTCGATCTTCATAATATTTAAAAAAAAACAATTTGTAAAAGATGAAAAGAGAAAAGGATTTGCATGTGGAATTAAGCCACACGATCTTCATTAACCAAAAGTGTCACTAGGTATTGTTAACTTATTATCCACTTATATTATTATTTGTGGATGATAAAAGCAACTAGTTTGTCAAAAAAAGATAAAAGCTACTAGGTAATAAATTTAGTATAGGACCATTATATAAAGTGTGTATATTATGGCGTTATACTATAGGCGTGACATTAAAAATTTAGGAGTGAGATCCAACCATATATAACAGATGAATGCTGGTGGATTTTATACTGTTCTTTCTGTAATTAAGCTGGTTTTAACCTTTAACCTATGAAGCTATTCTAGGGTTCACTCTTGTAGTCTTGTGTTGTATCTTTTGAGTTATTCAACAATCTGAATATATCGATTTACTACTCATATTTAATACCATTCCCATTCTTGTAGGGTCTTGTATATTCGTTCCAGCCTTGTATATTCGTTCCAATATACTCCCTCCGTTAACGGTTAGTATATATGCTTTCAATATATTAACTTTTTATACGAATAATTTTTTACAAAAACAAAATGAAAGATTTTCATAATAAAATTATGCATTAATAAACATAAAATTACAAATGTTGCAAACAAAAATATTAGGGAAAGTATATTTGTTAAAAAAATAAAAAAAGTGGATCTTGGTTATTTCTTATAAAATTTTTTAATTACAACACTTTGACTTTTAGGCTACGTTTGATTCACCACCTTGTTTTTTGACTTTTTCTTATATGATATGATATGAACTTTTTTTTTTTTTTTGATTTGATTTATTTGACTAAACGCTAACATTATATTTATGTTAATTTAAAAGGATACAGATGAAGTTTTATTAAATTTTTATTAATGTATATTTTCCAAATGTACAATTATTTTCATTACAGAATTAAAGATGTTTAGCTATAAAAAAAAAAAAATTGCAAATAAAACAATATGGTATCGACCTAAATCTTTTTTTTCATGATATGAATTATTTTTTTTCCTTGAAATAAGTAATAAGGTCCATTACTAAATTAAGGTGAACTAAACATAGACTTATTACAACTATTTTAAATGATGCAAAATGAAAAAATTTTGAGAGTTGGGGAAGTGATTAGTCATTGACATATTAGGAGCTCAATCAATCAATCAAGGCCTTAATCCCATAAGTGGGATTAGCTACATGAATCAAAAGTGATTATTCCGTATAATCATCCAGCTCATATATATATATATATATATATATATATATATATATATATATATATATATATATATATATAAAAACAGTACATAGGTTTTTAAGACAAACTGAAAAACTATTCCCAAAAATAGGAGTAAACTGTAGTAATTTCTGCAGCAAAATCTAGTGCAATGATATTAGGTTGGAATGTGGGATGATAGTATTGAGTTTAGGTAATCGATATGATGTACTCTGCTCATTTTTAATGCCTTTTTAATGTCGTGTTGTTGTGGATCAACAGATGGAATATAATGAACAAGTAGTACTAATGTACTATAACTCAACTCTTACTTCCAAACTTCCTTTATTTTTTTTTTATTTTTTTGTTGTTGTTGTTGTTGATGATAATTCATGTATTTGTATGTATTCACATTTTCTTTCAAAATACAAGTAACTAATTAATAAGGTACCACTGTTAGTTTTTACTCAGTGATTCGGTCTAATGATAGATATCGTAACATTTTTATAATATGACTCGAGATTTAAAGCGGAGCAGAAATATACAATCCAAAAGCATATACGTACGTATTATATTTGGACTGTGATAGAAGATAATAAGACAAGTTAATAGAGTGTAATAGTGATTGAATTGCAACAATAATGTGTATTACAATTGTGAAGGGTATATAGCATTACGAAGTGAAATTTAATTAAATAGAAGGATATGATAAGACAATGAGATATAAGTCTTATGTACAACAGGTGTACATTAATTTTATTGTAAAACGGTCAGTTTGAGTGTAACTTTAACTATTTTTATAGTAACTTTAACCACTTAAAGGGATAACATTTAATTTAACGTTATTTTAATGTGTAATTTCTTATGGATACGTGATTACATATTATAAAGACTAATATGATTAATCTAGGGTGTTGTTAAACGTCGTTCCCAAATTACAACTCGTCGCTCGCATTTTTTTCATGAAATTCCGTTTTTGCCCCCATATATAAATAACTCACGACAGTTACAACACATTTTACGCTCGTACTTTCTCTCTAAAAACTAATTCTCTTCAAAAATTAAGGGACATCCGCCTAAAATTTCTGGATGTCCCAAAGGACATCCGCCTAAAATTTCCAGATGTTCCCTGGGACATCCGGAAATTTCAGGCGGATGTCCCTAATTTTTTTTTTATTTTTTTTGTTTTGTTTTTTTTTTTGTTTTTTTTTGGTTTTTTTTCGTGCTTAAATTTTTTTTACTCATAATTAATGTTATGTAATTTTGGTTTTTTTTGTTGCGATTAATATTTTTTAAATAATTGATTAAATGTAAGTGGTGGGTCAAAGTGCTCGGGAATAATATTAAACTGCTCGGTATACTATGTGACAAAGTGGTGGAGCCTTATATAGGTCAAATTAACACAAGGGCAAAACGGTAATTTTACATTTAAATGGGAGCGTCACCATGTAAATTGGGAGCATCGAATAGCAGTTCACTTAATCTAATACATTATAAGTTTTTTGTAAGATAAAATTTATTAATAGAAAAATAATAAATTTTGTAGTATAAAGGATAACTTTAATTACTTTTAATATAACTTTAACCCATTTTACAATAAATTAACGTACACCCGTCTTTTTGGAGTATTTGTGGACAAATTAATGGAGTAATAGTAACTGCGACAATAATGAAATTGTAAAGGGTAGATAACATCATAGTTACGAAGGTGAATATAGAGTGGAGGATGGATACGAGAAGATGTTGCGAAAATATGGTAAAATTAAAATGTATTGTAAAGGTCTTTAATACTTTATATAAAACCCAAAATGTGAAGGTCCCAAATTTGGGATACTTGTAGTATGAAAATGGATCCAAGGGACAGAGATGGATCAAGTAATTTGTTGTCGTTGCTTAATCGCAGATTCGAAACAGCCAAATTATTATGTTGGGCCATTTTCCTCGGCTTGTCTTCATATGCTTATTGCATAAGAAATGGCAACTACACTATTTGTTATCAAATTGTTTTGGATGTTGACTTGAGATTTGGAGTGCTCCTAAAATAAATGCTGCACATCTCCAAACGTTGCTATTAAAAAAGAAGTAATAGGACATTAGATCTGTGATTGGAGGCATTCAAAACCTTTTAAATAACAGTTGTAATGGCTTATGGTTGAAACATAAGATTGATTTTAATACTCTGTCACACTCTAAGAGATGCAGCATGAGTTCTCACACACAGTATGAGCAAAAAAATCTAAACTTATTAGCTTTTTTATCACGTTTGTTATTGATATCATATTAAAAAACCATTTCAACCAAAAACTTGAGTAAATGATTACTCCGACATACCTAGAATTGGTTTTTATTGTCTATCACAAATCGCTACTCCAAGGATAGTAATTCAAGAATAAAGATGCCTAGCTAGGGTTTTTAGACATATGATGGCAGCTCATACCAGGTAAGATAAACCAAGATGAGCCAAAAACTTAAGCATCTTCTTGGATCCCTATAGTAGTAGGCAGTGGTTAATGATATTTTTCCTCAACAAGTTGTGGAGTGAGTAGAGTGGTCCTAGACTTAATTTGTGCTTTGCCTAGACTCTGCGTGCATGCAATGCAAACTTCAGATGACAGAATTATAAAGATGAAGATAACAAATGTTTTTTATGATAATAATCCTTGGGAACCCAAAAATCCTCTACTTTCATTTACTTTGTAGAAAATGAGACCTTCCTTTGTTCTTTTTGAGGTTTATTATAACCTGGACTTCCTACATCCTAGCTACTGCAAGTGCAATGAGGCCAATGACTCTTTATTCTTCTTTCGTTTTGAAATACTCTGTAATGATTACACTTTGAATTATGACACGACTTAGGCCTTGTTATTTTGAGCTTCTGGGCAGAGCATAGCAAGGGTTAGCAAAGCATAGCAGGGGTTAGCAGAGCAGAGTAGATTTCAACAGAGAAGAACAAAGTAAATTTCAACAGAGCAGAACAGCTCAAAAGAACAGGGTCTTATATATTTTATTTTTTGATACGAACATCATTTAAGAGCTAATGATTAAAATTTTAAATTGACAAACATAAAAGGTAAAGAGTTACCATTATTTCGTAAACAATGGAATTATTTGAGAATATGTTGGCAAATTGTCAATGACCAATTACTTCTTCCAATCTCAAATATTTCTCACTTTATTATTTGCATAAATAATGAAATAATAAAATAGGGCCCAATACGCAGGCAAGTCCAATAGTAGATGGGCTAGATACTACTCTGAATATGGGCTGGACCTATAGACCGTTAAGCTCTTAACCATACTCTAACTAAAGGTCAAATGCACCAAGTTAATTAAGCAACAGATGGAAAACAACGGAAACTTACATGCCATAAAACCTTTATTAGTACTTAAATTGTTGGCATATTATGATCACAAAGGCCAGTAATCTTCCCAAGCCAAAGCACTAATGAGTTCAGATTTATGTTCATGCCCAAGTTGTTCGAAATGACTCCTCCATTCACTCTCTGCATGAAGAATTAAGTCATCTTTCTTTCTGTAAGCAATCCCTAACTCAGTTCGCATTGTATTTTGTGTAGCTGCAAGAGTTGTTTTCCGGTCAGCACATTGATCCCAATATATGGGGTCAAGTTTAGTTGTATGTTCTGTTTTCCTCCACATTTTTGCCGTCCAGTGATCCTCCAATGACTCGAACTTCTCTCTTCGAAACTTTTCTGATTCTGTAATGAATTTTGACCATCTAACACTTGCAAATTGCTGCAGCACATGCTTCACATCATGCTCAGAGCTCTGAAACCACATTATGAAAGTAGAGGAGTTTTCAGTTAAGAGTTTGTCAAAGCCCCCATTTAATACATCCAAGGGCTTATTGTGGTCTGTCTTTGATATGAGCACGTCTTCAAGGGAGGCTCGGCAATGCACTAGAAGAAACTTTAGTATACTCATGGCTAAATTTCTTGCATCTGTTTGCTCGTCAGAGATGAGGGAGATTAGACTAATGCAGAGGGAGCAATATAGATCAATATCCGCATTGCTTGAATGGAAGATGATTTCTTTATGCGCATGTATTAGTTCCAAGACTATGCAAATATCCACCCGCATTTCTTCTTGGGAAATGAGAGGATCTTCTCTAGTGGAGGCCAAGAAAGATGGAAGAAAACAATACAATACCATCCGATTTGTGCTCTTAAGGATAACATCAATTGGCCTACTTCCTCTCAAAATTGATAGCAGGCCTGTCCAAGGAAGGGATGATTCCTCAATTTGACCATCTTTCTTTGCAGAATGGAGCATCAAAAAACAGAATTCTAAAACTTTCATCACAGCTGAAGGCTGAGGAAATACACCTATATAAACACAATCTACAATCAAATTGCAAAATGACCCTAAATTTGACCACAAAATGCTCTTATCCAAAATTTGGCCATTTCTCTCATGACTGTACAGAAGCCGCCTTTCCAAATAGGTCATAACTCTACTGAGGCAGAGTGCTTGGAAAGTTAGAGCAGATTCAGAATCAAGATATAAAGGACCACTCCATAAAACGCTTTCCATGATTGCAATTGGATTCACATGCCCAATCAAAGTAACAGATAGAACTTCTGCTATAAGATCTAAGATAGCAGTGGCTCCTACTGAATATAATTTACCTCTACCAGTGGAATTGTCAAGTTCCAGCATAAGATGGGAGGTAGTTAGAAAACTTGAATCTTCAGTCGACTTTGTATGAGAACCAAGCTTTGCAGAAGGTGATTCATCACCTTCACAAGCTAAGATGGAATAATTGGTGGAAGTTGTTAAAACATAAGGTTCTGTGACCAATTTTACAGCCATATACGCCCTGGAAGACAAAATTTAAAAAGTTTAGTACGGTTGAGTACGAAAAAATAATCAATTCAAAATATCAGGGCACAAGCAACTATTTTTAAAAGTCCTACATTTAGCAAAAATAGTTCTGAGAATATTGATACAGTAGAGAAGAGAAACCAACCAACCTCACAATAGAGAAGTAAAGGTCCACACAGCTTTCAAGAAATTCAGTCCTTTCACAGATTTTAGAGAAAGATGGTGACATTTTAGCCGAATTAGCCATAAATCTCAGTATTGAAGTTGCATCAGTGGCAGAGGCTTCCAAGCCATGTAAAGATGTAGTATGTGTCTTGTGATTCAAAGCTTCTTCACCACCTAATTCTTCAATAATATCCATGTTTCCCTCTGCAAGGTCCACATCATAAGATTGAGGGATATCCAAAGCTTGTTGAGCAAGAGTTGGTTGGACTCTAAGCTGATCAAAAACATATTTCACCATAGCAACTATAGAATCCAAGAGGCTTGCAAATTTCAAGTCTCTAAAGTCCTCATTATTGAGCATCAGCGCCTCAAAGTCCAAAATTCCAACTTCAGGTAATTTTGGGTATATAGGCTTGCCAAATATCAGGCAAAAAAGAGTATAATATATGTCAAGAAAATCATGGAAACTTGGAAGTACATGAGCCAATGCTTGGTAGCCGCCATTACTCTCAAATTTAAGAGGAAATGCGGGAGATGATGTGAAGCATACACCCAGAATGGTTATGATCCATATCATGCTTGTTGGATGAATTGCTCTATCAAGAAAATGTGCAATGAGTTGTGATGAGACTATTTTATGCCAATGCTCAAGCAATTCCTCAGAAAATATGGTCACTTGTAAATCTATGAGTGTCTCCAAGAGAATATTTCTCAAACTCACACGCTTACTCATCACCTCTCTCGTGACTTGAGATGGTTTCATCACTTCAGGGGGTTCAAATGTTGTAAGCACAAATGACGTCACACTCTCCAGCTCAGTGTCTAGAAACTTGTGCTCTAAGATGACTGCAAGTAGAATAACAAATTTCTCCAAGACAAGCACTTCAATATCATCCCTATGTAAAGCTGCCAACAAATGTTGGACAACGTTTCTTTCACGCAGAACACTCAGATTATGATCTTTGAATTTATACGCAGACACCATATTCTCGAAAAAGTCCAGAATTTCTAACTGGATGGAAACAGGGGCCGCCACCCACAGGGTCCAGTCTAGCAAGACATGCTCTACTATATCTGCATCAGATAGAGCACCAGAGATTAATAAAGTTGCCTTTGTATCATTTGAATACCCATTAACATGATTAGTTTTTTCGCCATTTGTAGAGAAATCATGAATTTCTCCATGATAATTCATTGAAGAAAGTGAATCCTGAGACTCTGCTAGATCAACTTCCGGAGATATGGCCTGGGGCATGGCTTTTGCAGATGAAATAATAGTTTGGCTATCCACCACTTTTGGCGGATCTTCAGACACAACAATCTTGAAAAGAATCTGAAGACATTTCATGTCAAACAAGGCTATTTTCCTACAAAGGAACAAAGACAGCAACTGATAACCTTTGCATGCTTTCATCTGTTCAGCCCTGTGAGAATTCTGATTTAGAGCAGACGCAAATAATGTCAAGGCTATATGAAGCATGTTCCTTGTTTCAGCAGATTCAATAATAGCTAGAATAACAGCAATCCCTGTAACTGGGCATACGACATTTCCAATTATACATCTCCTACAAATAGAGATATCGCCATAGAGTTCCCCAAAGTGCGCTATGCCTGAAATTTATTGTAGTCCCACGGGAAAAAAATAGAGGATAAAGTAACAAAGTCAGCTTATCATTGAAAAAGATTTTGTATCATTGTATGAACAATTTTATAAAGAAAATAATACTAATATGGGGTTTATAACTAACCAGTTGAAGGAACAACTGACATAGGATCAACAAGATTGAGCAAGGTCAAAGTATGTGATGCTGGCAGAGCTTCAATCCGTACTGCATTGAATGCACAGAGGAGTTTCTTTTTGAAAAGTTGCAGCCACAGTTTTTCCAACATCTTCATATCCCAAATTGTCTCTGAGCCATCTACCTCTGGTCTCCCTACTTTCTCAACAGTGTCTAATCTTCCTACTCCGTCATCTGAGCTTGAGTCCAATATAGAATTTCTCAGACCTTTTCCATCATCATCAAATATAGAGTGAGAGATATCTGAACCTTGAAGTAGAACTTTGTATCCTCTAACAAGCGTGTACATGAAACTAATAAAATCAGCAGAGAGTGGTTCTTGGAAAAGATAGCAACTATGTAATCTCCATTGCAAGTCACTAACCCTTGCATGGTTTGCAGGTGTCCCAATGGTAATCTGCAATTCCCTTTCAGCAAGCATGGGAGTGTAAGCAAGTTCTGCAGTGTCACTCAGCTTCCCATTAACATATATGTGTACAGTACCAGAGAAGTGTTTTGCAGTCACATCATCTCTATTACTTTGGACAATGGCAAGATGATACCATTCGCCTTCTTCTAAACCCAAGCTACGAGAAGATAATAACAAAGTATTGTTTGTTGCAAGACTCAGCACACCATCCTGTTGCATAAAAAGTTCTACAAATGTGATTTCACTATCTGTTGAAGTAACCAAAAACAACCTTAGTTTCATTGTTCCTTCATGTTCTGATTGCATTGATTCTAAACCCCTATACTGAAACCAGCAAACAAATGAGTAGCCCTCCTTTGGTGGCCATGCCCTCTCCCCTAGCGATGCTAGAATGCAAGCATGCCCCATATTACTCATGTCAAATTCTAAACAAGGAGCAAAAGAAGCACTCTCATAGGCCAAATGCTCCATGAATAACAGTCTTCCCAAGATGTTATTGAGATAATGGTTTGCATCTATGAGCCTCATTTGCAAAACATACTGAATGAGTAGCCGAAGTTCTGGAGGCGACAACCTGTGATTAATGTTACAAAGGGCATGGCAGTTGTCTGAAGTAAGTTAATGCTAAACAAGCTACTAAGGTTTTTATTTGATAAAAAAAGCTTACCAAGTAAACATGAACATGCTCTTTTACTCAATTTTTATCAAAATTCCCTTTTTACTCAGATCAATATGGTGATGGGGTTTTTTTTTTTCTTTCTTTCTTTCTCTTTGTTCCACTCGCTTTCTTATGATAGATATGATATAGTGTATAGTTTATAGTCCGTAGATTATACACTCCAATGAAACAATCATTGCCTTGATTTAATCTTCACCACTATAGTCTATATACACAATGATACAATCTAGTTAACTATGCTCCAAGTAACACTATCAACTAAGAACTAAACTAATTTCTCTAAAAACGACTCGAAATTCAAATGCAACTAAGAAGCAAACTTTACAGCCAAAATTCAGAATAAAAACTTATATTCAATGAAAACCCAACAAATGAATGCAACTATAAAGAATCGAGTAGAATATTTTACCTTGAAGGAAAATAATCATAAGAAGTGTCTGTTCTTGGTGGGACTTCAACAACTTCACTCAATTGAGATAAAGACTCAAACCCAACCTTCTCTTTGATATCCTTAAACAATGTGGTTACCCAGGACTCCATTTTTTAATCTTTAGCTTTCTGGGTATGAAATTTTTGCAGATTTTGAAGGTTGATGAAGAAGAAGAAACAATAGTAAAGAATTTGAATGTCATGATCATGTTGTATGTACTATGTAGAATAATGGGTTAAAATACTACAACGTGTAAGCCATCTTTCCCTAATTTTTGGGGGAAAATTAAGGTCAATCACCAATTTTGAATTTTGGTGAAATAATTTTGATTGGGTCATTTTCTCGAACACAAGGCGTGCATTATGATTAGTAGTGGTGATTTTATATTATTGGGCGGAAGATGCTCAACCTTCCCACAAATTGAAATGGTCGCATCACTCGCATGAATCAAAAAGAAAGGACTTTGGTTTAATATAGTCAACCACACAACCTATGAAAAGTGATTTCTATACTACATTTTCTACCAGAACGTGGAGTTCAAACCCCACAAAGATCTGTGTAATTTTGCTTGATGGGTTAGTTAGAATATTTTTGAAATTTGGCATTTTGTATAAAGGTATACATGTTTTAAGTCGGTTCACTAAAAAAAAAAAAAAACGGTTTATTACACCTTATTTTTGTTGACTTGAAATTAATTTTACTGGATTAAAATTATTTTTACTGATTCTTTATAATATTTCTCTTTAATCAAGTTACTGATTTTATTGGGTAAATTGAATTAGGCCTTATTCACCTAATTTTTTTTATTTATCTAAACTTATATTTATCTTATCATCTAAACTTATATTAGTCTTTAAAAAAAATAGTATGAGCATAATGATCTTATCTAAGTCCTTAAAAGATAGTATGAGCATAATAGATAGATAAGCTCGTCTTTGTTACAAAGTGAGCCTAATAGTCTGACACTGCATACTTGACCTAACACGCAAGGTCAACTAATGCTATACCCCACGTTTATGAAAGATCAACATGAGAATGACACAATATAAAAGATCCATGTTTATGAGCTTGACACAAAATATGATATGAATTTTTACTAGGCTCATATTATGCATGATTTGCTACACACACTAGACCTGTTGGCAACTTGGCATGACATCCGGACCTATATAACCCAGTAGTCAGCACTAGAACCCATAAAACTTCATAAAATTAGAATCATATATGATAATTAATTCCACCCGTTTCATAATGTTAGTCCCTAACTATTTGGACGTTTCAAAAAGATCTACCCATATTAAATATGTTCCATTTTTAACTTAATTTTTTTTTGAATTAATTGATTGTAGATTGATGACATGACTCTAAGTAAGGAAATCTCTACCTTAAATTATGCAATTATGACTTGTACTTTCTCAAAGAAAAATAAAAAAAAAACTTAAATAAGGTAAACTAATTATGAATTATTTTGTAATTTAATGTTAGATTCCAAATATTGTTCTTTTCGTATTTTATATGATTGATTCCATATGAGACTAATATTATGAAACGAATGGAGTATAATTATCTAAAATTTCTATAATTAGGTCTACTAATTAAATTTTTCTAATGTATACAAATCACATAGATGTTAAAAAGGTAACGGTGTATACGAGATTTGATCGTGAGTCCGCTACGGTGATGCCTCGTACGTTCACAAGACTCTAGACAACTAAACGAATGTAAGGAGTGAAGTGATTGCACTTTCTTTCTTTTCTCACTTTGGCTTCAATGGCGAGAGCAACGCTTCTTCACCCCAGCGATCAAACTCATTGCATGCCATCAATATGTTAAGTAAGAACAAATATTCCCTTTTATGCTCATTTTCCTTTACTTGAATTTTAATTTCTTGTACTCTTGAAATTTCTAGATTGTCCGGAAATTTCTCACAGTTGAAAACCCTCATTAATTATTAAAAGGGAAAAATGCAACTGCATAAATTATAATCATCTTTGTTAAGTTAGATTATATAGGATCATGTTGCAAAATCCACTTCTTTTTTTTTTCCAAGAATTGTTTTTTATGTCAATTATTCAATTTGATGACAATATAATCGCGAATTTATGCTCTCAATTTTTCATTTTTTTTTTTTTTTGATTAGTATATTTTTTGTTATTATTGATATGTATTGAGAAGGAATTATTTTAACTGCCTGCTAAGTTATTTTCTGATTATTTGCTATGAGTTGTTGATTTAGTTTTCATATTTTCTGCTTAATTTACATAATTTGGAATATCAAATTTCAATTACATTGATGTTAATGTCTATGAATTCGACTATATTTGGTCATAGGAGTTATAAGTATTATGCATGCACAATTCTATGGACATTTAGTATGTGATGTATCATGTATTACTAAGTATGAGGTAAAAGATAATAACCTAAATGATAGAGCATTGAACATTGAACTTAGGATGGGAAACTATACGGCGTTTTTTCGAGTCATGAGAGTAATTAGACTATCACTTCTGGCTTCAGATTATAATTGGGTTGCCAAGCTGAATAATATTGTTAGGATATGAAATTTTGAATTTCCATTTTAGAAAATAGGGAATAGGGAGAAACTAATTGGTTAACTATTATAGATTTAGAGGGCTTATGCTTCATCTATTTTGTATGGTGTAAATCATGCATGCTCTGGTTTATGTACAAGCTCCTTTGATTATAAAAGGAATAGGTAACAACAGAATGAAATTACACGTTTCTGAAGATTAGATCGAATTAAAGTACTATCAGCATTCGGCTAGTTTGTACAGAGTCATGAATTGATGAGATGATACTGACTTTCTAATTAAGTTTTCATGAAACATCCCTTAGGAATGTCCGAGCTTAGGTTTTTCTTCACAGATTTTCCTTACCACTTATACATGCACCTAAAGGCTGTAATAACTTATAAGTGGTTATGATTATCAATGATTAGAGCTGAATTGTTTGTCAGTGGGGATGCATTTCCTTGTACGTTGACAAAGGAAAATCCATGCAAAATTGCACACAAATGTCATTATACCTGAGATGACCTTATACAAAACAAGCCTTAAGGGTTTAATTTTACAATAAAAATAACAATCATTTAAGTATCCTATTCGCAAGGGATGGGGCAGCTGTACATGTCTGATCACTAATCAATGGACTAGTTGATACAACAATTAAACTTTAATAAGAGAAACAAAAAATTCTATGATAATATCTGATGGTACGTGTTGAGCTCTGGTTATAGTACTTTTCGACTTGATCTGGTTTCAAGACCAACATCTCTGTGAATGAACTTTCTGGCTTTGGCTATGAATTTTACAAGAGTAGTAAAAATGGGTTCTTCTGGAACAGGTATGAGTTTAACTACAAAGCCAATGGGCCATGAGAAAAATGAGATGATTATACATGCTGCCCATTCTTTCCAGTTCAAGCTCACTGTGTTGGCGAAATTTTTCAAGAACTCGACCATCACTGCCTGAAGGATGATTTCTATGGCAACAATCCCGAGAAACAAAGGAGTTTTGTGGATTCCTTCGAATATATTTTGCTTTTCCATTCTTCTTGAATTGAATTCGTTGAAAACTTGGCACAGAACAAAGGTGTTAAATATCAGGGTATTCTTTTTGTCTGTGGACACATTAAAGATGGATTTACCTCTGAACTGCAGGATCAGTAGCACTGAGATTTGATACAGCGATTGGCACAAGAGATTCCTCCACATAATGTTGGTTATGAGGGGTGCTGTCCTTCCAACAGGTGGTTTATCGAGAAGCTCTTTGGTTGGACGCTCTGTGGCAAGGGCCAGAGCTCCTAATGTGTCCATTATGAGATTAACCCACAGTAGTTGGACTGCTGTCAGAGGGACTTCTCCGGCTGAAACTGCTGCTATAAAGTTGATTACCAAAGCTGCCACATTTACTGTAAGTTGGAATTGGATGAACTTTTGTATATTGTTGTAAACACATCGGCCCCATCTTAGAACGGTGGCAACGGTGCTAAAATTATCATCTAGGATGATAATATCGGAACTCTCTTTAGCCACCTCAGTGCCTTGAATTCCCATAGCAAGTCCAATATCTGCTTCTTTTAGAGCAGGTGCGTCATTGGTGCCATCTCCTGTAACTGCAACCACTTCCCCCCTTTGCTTTAAGCATTGAACCATCAGTAGCTTATCAAGGGGAGATGATCTTGCCATTACACTTATTTTGTCAACTCTTTCCATTCTTTCTTCATGTGTGTAGTTCCGAAACTGTATTCCTTCCACAACTTCACCTTCCTGTTGTTGGTATCCTAGTATACCACATTCTGCGGCTATGGCTTTTGCTGTGAAAATGTTGTCTCCTGTAATCATTTTGATTCTAACTCCTGCTCTTTTGCAGACATCTACTGCATGCTTGACTTCTGGACGACATGGATCCTTCAGACCTACAATCCCCAACAAAGTCAAGGCTTCTTCTTTAAGCTTTGGCTTAGCTGTTTCCTCGTCATACTCCACCTCTTCTTCTGAGACTTCACTATGAGCAAATGCAATGCAGCGAAGACTGCTGGCTGCCATGCCTTCAATTATCAGCCCAATACTTCTCCTTCCATCTTCATCCATCACCTTTTTTATTCCAGCAGAGGTGTAATAATGGGAGCACATTGCTAGAATAAATTCTGCTGCTCCTTTCCAGTGCACGTTGATAGAACCGTCAGATTCCTTCCTCATCATTACCCCACTTCGCTTCTTATTTGAGTTGAAGCTTTCAACCTGAAGAATTGAACTGCTTTGCTTTATTGTCTCCATATCCATACCTACTTCCTTGATTGCCCAAGATAGAATTGCTTTCTCAGTTGGACTTCCTGAAATCTCAGGTACTCCACCCTGATAAGGTATATATACTACACCTGTCGTGTTCAAAGCAACTCCTTGTTGGAGCAATTCAAGAACACTGGGAGCAGTTACTCGAGTGCCTTCTTCTTCTCCGATCCAAGCCTTGGTCACTTGCATCTGATTCAACGTCAGAGTTCCAGTTTTGTCAGTGCAGATGACTGTGGCAGACCCCATAGTCTCACAAGCTGAAAGCTTTCTCACCATTGCCTGATCTACCATCATCCTTTTCATCGAGTAAGCAAGGGTGAGCGTCACAGCCAATGGCAAGCCCTCAGGAATGGCCACAACCACTATGGTGACTGCAGCAGAGATTATCCGAACTATGGAACTGAGTATGGAATTGATCCCCGTTTGACTACCATTATACTCTTTTTGCCCATCCTCACCTCTGGTGTTCCCTGTAAAATACCTTACAAGTAACACCATGAGGACAAGTAGAGCGACAAGAAGACCTATCTTCCCTATTGCTGAGGTCAATGCATCGAGCCTCACCTGTAGTGGAGTTTGCTCATTGGTATCACGATTAATTGTGCTCATCATCTCTCCCCAAGATGTGTTCATCCCAACTGATGTCACCAACATTCGTCCATATCCATCACCGACCTTTGCACCTGAGTGAAGAAAAGGGTTGTTTGTATGATTTACCTCAATGTGATCACTTTCTCCTGTCATGCTTGACTCATCTATCAACAAGGATTGTCCATCTACGAAGAGTCCGTCTGCCGGTATTTGATCCCCAATCTTCAAGATCACTACATCTCCAACTACGATGTCAAAGATGGAGACTTGTTGTGGCCTGCCATCCCTCACAACACTGATCATAATGTTATCGCTTATTTTTGATAGCTTGCTAAATTGTCTATCTTGTTTGATGTTACTTACAGCAGTAACAATGACAACAAGGAAGACTGCCACGAAGATGCTTCCTCCTTCATACCACCCTTCTTTAATGCCATGCAGCTTGATCCCAAACCCAAGAGAAAGGGTTGCACAAACAAGAAGGATGATGAGGGTGAGATCCTTAAAGGCATTCCAAACAAAATAAAGGAAACCCTTAGGACGCGGCCTCTTGTAAGTGTTTGACCCGAATTTCTCCTTTCTCCACCCAAGATCATGTTCGCTTCCTGAGATGCCACTTGTTTCATTGGTCTTGAGTGCACTGGCAATTTTGTGAACTCCCCCAAGTGTGTGAAGAGACTCAACTCTCTTCTCCCTAACAATTTCAGCGAGCTTTGCTGCATCTATGCATGATGAAGAAGGGGTTACTGGGCTGTTGGGTTCAACATCAAGTACTGTGTAAGGCTGCTGATAACCAATACTCAGGCTTGTGTTGTTGGCGAGGGAAAGAAATGCTCGGAAGGAATAGATGGCTGCAGCTGCTATGTGCCACCGTTTCCTCGCTTGTGTTATTGTGGTGCTCACTTTATGAATCAAAGTACCACAATCACTATCCAGGACAAAAGCTCTCCCGTCCATTTGTTTTCTTCTATACTCTAAGAAATATGGAACTAAATAAGTTTGGAGAAGATGAGATGAAATGGGTTGGTTTTTTCTTCTTTTGAGGTTTGTTGGATGCTAAAATCTTTGGTTCATGTAGCCGACTTCACCTTTGGGATTAAGGCTTTGATCGTATTTGTTAAGGTTTGTGGCTGACTCTTTCTATTATTGTGAGTCGGAAATATAATGTTGTGTACTTATCTTTATACTTGTTCTTTGAATCAGGAACATGCTTTGCAGTTTCCTCTTGTCTTGCTCAATGAAAAAACGCTTACAGTTACAGCAGCTCTGCAGCTATGTCATGCTCTTCTTAATAAAGATGTGATGAAAGGTAACACATCATAGATTAATGCTGAAAGTTCTTAATAATTTCCGATTATTATTTTGTTAATTTTTGTGATTATCCTACACGATTAGTCTCCGGGTTTGTTCGTCTGCTCAATTAATTACTATATATTATTTCGCGTATAATACGTGTATATTAAATCAACTTTGGCATAATACGTGTAAATTAAATCAGCTTTGGTTTACTAGTATTAGTTAATCGATCTTCTTAATTAAGCATTGATCATGTTGAGTATTGACTATTTTAGGCATAGATTAGTGTTGTCAAAGTTTCATAAGACTGCAATTGAAGAAGTAATGGTTTCCCACTTCTGGAAGAAAACGGTTGTTATACTATTTTATACAAGTAGTTCGTATATCCATTATTGCTTGATTTGTTTCTTATATTTTACCACTATTGAAGAGAACAGTGCGTCGGCAGGATTAGGTTTCTAGCTCTTAGCTTGACTACCTCTACCGAGAAGCTCTCTCTCGCTTCAGGTTTGCCTAATCGAATTCTTCCTTTTCCTCCGCAAACCAACCACTTTTGAAAAAGGGCATTTCCAGCACCACATTTTTATTTATTTTTTTGGTGCAAAATAAGAATATTTTGTCGATTATTATATAATAATAACGATAATGATAATCACTAGTAAGAATGGTGATTTAGTAATATGTAAAAGAGCTGTTATTACCGCGTTAGAGGCAGCACTGATTATGAATGGGTGTCTCAGGTGATGACTTACAGAACAAGCGAAGGATACCATTGAATATATGGGGCCTTATTAAGCTAAGACTTGGAAGTTAGAACAAACCAATATGATAGTTGACCTTATATATTAGTCATTTGATATTGCTATTATGCTCGATTAGATGCAAGTTTTTCCAACTATCACTTTTTTTTTTTTTTTCGACATAAAGCATTCATATGTTAGATACAACAATATAATTCATACTACGTAATATAAATGTATAATTACTTGTAACTATAAACTATCTAAAGTAATCACGATATATGGATAAAAAAAAAAAATAGACTACCTTTATAGGTGATGAACATTGTGCGACTTATTAGAGGGACGTTTTGTTCATACTTAATAGAGGTTTGACGAGAATCACAACTAAGAAAGGGTAGAAGAATTCTAATCCATAACAATTGGATATACGTCTTAACTACTAATTCACCCTTCGTTTGTGTTTTCGTGTTGCATACTCCATTCGTCTCAAATTTGTTTCCAACAAGGACGTTTGTCATCTACCATTCGTCTCAAATTTGTTTCCAATAAGGACGTTTATCATCTACGATTACTACAGTACAATGTAAGAGGCAGGTAGTCAGCAAATTTAAAACATAATCTTAAGTAATTCGTATATTATATGGTGCCATTATTAATGTAAACACGGTTTTAGATGGATATTCGGGATAATGCATTAATCTTAAATTGGCAACTGATTGATACCAATCAACCAACACAACTACACAAGCTAATGTAATGTGATGCAATCACGTTTGCCGTATAATAAATAAAGCATCTGACTTGCACTCCTAACAACGTGGTTACTTACGTGAGTAGTTGAAACCAACTCCGTACTTCTTAAACTCTCTTACTTTCTTTTCTCTTTTCTTTTATGGAAGTATTTATTTATTTATTAACAGAAATTTAAGACTGCATTTTTTTCCGAGTGCTCAAATTGTCCTAAAGATCAATGGTGTACATGTGATTTGATCTTAAGTCTTGAATCCGTAATTTAATGTATATTGGCTATAGTCGGTCAAAAAGATAAGAAGAGGTTTGATGTGCTTCTATATTCCACAAGAGGAATAGATCGAGTATAAGACGTTTTGAAGGATTACTAAATCTGATAATTTAATTGAGAAAAATACTACTCACAGGTAGTAGCCAAAAATCATTTTAGTACTCCTTAGTAGATGTTGGTTTTAGTTTTAAAACCGATAAAGCTCTATAAGCTCAAATTAGTAGTCATGTGGGAAATTATAGAGTGTATGACTGTCGAATGTATGGATAATGAATCCATTATGTATGTTATATAAGTACTTCGAATTTCCTTTGTTTCTTGTTAATTGTTCTAACTCAACTTTTACATTCATCAACACAAAGAATTTGTCAATCAATAAATCCTATAATCGATTTTATTTAAATTATTGGAAATAAATGTTTGAGACAAATCCAATACTACAATTTGCCTAAAATCATTTAATTTGTTTATACATATTGATATTCATATATGATCAAAATAAGTTAGGAAAAAAGTGCAAAAGTCTAAACAATTGAAAAATGGAGAAAATATAAATTTTTTAAATTTAAGCTACATTTGCTTGTCTATAGCATCACCTTTTCCCCGACTATTTTTGTTATTTTCGAATTATGATATTATTTTGCCAACTTTTAACCTAACTTCATATATTATTTGTTTGGGGTGTAATTGCACAAAAACTTAAATAAGTACTACAACCTTATAATTATGGAAGCGCTGTTAATAAAACTTTGGCCTATAATTATTCACCCTCCACCAAATAATGTCCCCATAATACGCACACACCCATTAGAGATAACCAGGGGGGCATTTCTACTACAGTAGCTAATACAAGGTGTTTGAAAACAACAAGAAATATATGAAGTTGCAAGTTCCAATTCATTGTTAAAGAGATGTTTAGATTTTGACATCCATCACAATATCACGTATGGTGAATAAGTCGTTTGAATTTGACATGGTATGATTTATATCGATAATAATAATCATTTCAATTATAGCTTGATTTACATTATAGTCATGTAATTAAATCAAATTCAGATCAAGTCAATATCAATTCATGCCAATTAACTTATCATGTAATTTTAGATACGTATTCGGTTGAATTCGATTAATTACTCCTAATTAATATGAATCGAACTCAAGGGTATCAAAGTCTTCACTAGTTAGGTCTACGGTCTACCATTTCTGCTATTTTAAAAGAACTTTTCAGTAAAGTGGCCGTTAGATTGCCCATATTCATACTGTTTTTGCACCATTATTTCTTCTTATTTTCATTGAAGATACAATCAGTTTGTCAATATTAAATAAAAAGACGAAATTTGAGTTCACATAAAATGACTGATTTCACGCTTTCTCATTTATATATGCGTCATTGACGGCAATTTAATAATTTCTTCAATATTCAATGACTAAAATAGGAATTGAAGAAACTACCTCGTAGTTTCGCTAGATGTAACTTCAAAGTTTTTGGTGGAAATAAGTTAAAGCAGCATTCAACGAAAGCTACTATTATGCAGTAAAAATCACTTTATAATAAAAACTAGTGAGTAGTCCGGGCGTTGTTTCAAAATACCACTTTTGTATTTGTGTAATTGCTAATTTTTAAGAGTATTTAAATATTTAATAGTGTGTATGTAGTATGTATTTTCAATACTTTTATAGTATAATATTATTTATTTAGTGTGCAACATTAAAGCATAATTAACTATCAACTTAGATGGTTAAACAATAACGTTGCTTCAAAGAGGTTAAGTGTTCGAATCTTCTAATCCATATATTTTTGAGCATATAATTTATTTGAAATTAATTCGTATATACTTTGTCTAGAAATTAATTCGTATATGTTAAATATTTCATACTCTAAAGGACCGGCATTTATTGTTTCTTATTTCGTGTCATCAGCGTACATTCAAAAACTTGATGTGATCTATACAAGATTCAGATGTATGTCTTACCACTAAGCTACGTTATAATAAAAAGTACATACATAAAAGATCAAAATATAGTGAAAGACAATATGAGAAATTAAATAACATTTAATTAATTAAGATAAAAATCGAATCATAAATTTCTTTTTTAAAGACTGGATTTAAATTTTTTTAATTAATGTAATAATCGAGATATTGTCTAGGCTCAAACACTATTTCTTAAATAAAACTTATATAACCTAAACATATTACAAGTATAGAGTATATCTTTTATGGAAAGTTCCAACTAATTTCCATGATGGCAACTTAGCTCCATCCTTAGCTTCCTTTTTGACCTTACATTTGAATCCGTAGTACCGTACAATGTACTCTGTATATACTACATACTTGTACTAGAAAATTCCAACATTAACCCCAACTCTTTCTATAGCATAATGTGCAATTGTGCATTATTAAGTCTTCTTAAATAACATGATTCATTTAGATGTTCTTTCAAATCGTTGAAGTTTTTTCAATGAAATTAAAGTATAGGAAATTATTAGAAAATTTTGAATACTTGGCTCATTAGACCACTATCAGCAGTGAGGAAAAAAAAAACCTCTCAATCTCTCTCTACCCACTTTCTCACTCCTCCCATACAATTTCTCTCATCAAATGTTTTTTTCACTACATCAATGAGGAGAAAAAAAAACCTCTCATCACTTTTTCCTCCACTATTTACTATACCCCACCATAATACACATCATCTTTTTATTTTATCTTTATTTTGAAATAATGTTTATACTACATATTTAATTTTCCAATACAATTAAAATATGTGAAAATAATTTATTTTTTAATTACATTTAAAAATAATTTAATAAAAATGTATAATTTAATAACAATTTATAAGTTTTATATTTACTTTTCAATTACGTTTAAAAATAATATAATAAAAATTTATAATTTTTATATTTATTTTTCAATTACGTTTCAATTATAACTTAATAAGATTGTTTTTTATTTGTCAATTACGTTTTAATTATAATTAATAATTTTTATTTATTTTTCAATTACGTTTTATTTATAATTTAACATTTGAATTAGTAGCACATTTTTGTAATGAACACATTAAATAGTCACATGGGAACTTCAATAACGGTAATACAAACACATGGGATGTTAAATAACGGTACAAGTACGAACTAGATAAAAGTGGTTCTACTAAAATAAAATACAAACACGAGTATTAAAACATAAATAACGATACGGTTACAAATAACAAACTAAAAAATTATTTATTCAACCGCATTATGACGAAAGTTCTGCCATATGTGCTCCACTAAATCTTGTTTCAGAGATGAATGAATTTCTCTATCACGAAGGGAAATCCTTCTCTCCAAATACGTGTTGAAATCAATGTTGGGTGGTCGCCCGACGTTGAATTCAAATGGCTCGTTGTTAAACACCGTGGCACTTGTGCTCGGGTCTGCCCGCCTCACCGTACGTTGTGGTCGATCTTCTTCGTAGTATCGTCTCAAAACATCTGCACGTGCGTAGTTGTGTCGTTCATCCTCGACGATCATGTTGTGCATTATTATACAGGCTTTCATAATATCACAGAGAATATCTTCGTCGTATGCAAGTGCTGGTTGTCGTAGTATAGCGAACCTAGCTTGTAAAACTCCGAAAGCCCGTTCGACGTCTTTCCGAACTGCTGCTTGTTGATCAGCAAACAACTTGTCTTTTCTAACATGAGGATGTGTTATACCCTGTATAAAAGTTGCCCATCTCGGGTAAATCCCATCGGCCAAGTAGTAGCCCAACTCATATTGATGTCCATTAACCGTAAAATTTATGGGTGGTGCATGACCTTGTAAAACATCATCAAATACCGGTGAACGGTAAAGGACATTCAAATCGTTACATGACCCAGGCATTCCAAAGAACGCATGCCAAATCCATAGATCCTGATCAGCAACAGCTTCAAGAATGAGAGTTGCACTCTTGCTACGACCAGCATATTGTGCCTTCCAAGCAGTAGGACAATTCTTCCACTCCCAATGCATGCAGTCTATACTACCAATCATCCCTGGAAAACCACGCAGATCATTTTGATGAAGGATTCTCCTTAAATCTTCATCTGTAGGTTTTCGTAGATATTCACTTTCAAATTGTGAAATAACCCCTTGACAGAAATGTTGCAATGCCTGCCTAGAGGTTGTTTGGCCGAGACGTAAATATTCATCCACAGCGTCTGCGGCTACGCCATACGCTAACATTCTTATTGCAGCGGTGCATTTCTGCAACGGTGATAAACCAAGCTTCCCAGCTGCATTTCGACGTTGCTGGAAGAATTGATCCCCCTCAACCACTTTGCTCATAATGCGGCAGAACAATGACCGTTGCATACGGAATCTACGTCGGAATTGGTTGTCGTTATACACTGGATTATTCGCGAAATAATCGTTGTATAGTTGCACATGCCCTTTTTCTCTTTCCCTATCCCTTTTGGGCTCCGTTGATAGTTCAGTTTCATTATTTAGTGGAGGTTCTTGTGGTTGGTCTGGAGGAAGTAATCTATGAGGTAGGTGATTTGCTACATACTCATCAACTAAGCAATCAAATTCATGATTTTTGGAGAAATCATCGGAAGAGGAGCTTGAGGTGGAAGAAATGAAAGACATTTTTATTTTGGTTAGGTAGTTGGTGTGTTTGGGATTGTTTCCGTTTATAATAACACAGGTATATATAGAAAATGTGAAAGTCATTATTGGATGGTAGTGGTAAGTTTGCATGTGAGTTAAAGTGGAATTGAAGTTGCATGTGACTCGAGGTGACAATTCAATGCATTATTTTAGCATGTGATTGTGCAGTGTTATTGATGTTTGAGCAGAGGTGACAATTCAGTGCATTACTTTAGCATGTGATTGTGCAGTGTTATTGATGTTTGAGCAGAGGTGACATGTGACGCGTGTCAGATTGTATCTTTATCAGATATCAGCTTTATCAATTTCAAATTACTAAGAAAACATGTGAATTAACTGAATATTAATAATAAATTTAACATTACATAAACATAAATTTAACATAAACTAAATAAACACTAGTACATTAAATTAACTGAATAAAACATAAAGTTAACATTAACTAAATAAAACATAAGCCAAATCTCCAAGTCACACGTGCCTTTTACCATATAGCATTGCACGTAATTCTAATTCCTCCTTGTAGGCCTCTTCATCGGGAGTTAGATCAGTACCCTTTGAAAGTAGATCTTGCAGCATTTCATAGTTCAGCCTTCTCTCTTGTATGTCAACTTGTTTTTGTTGAATTTCGACTTGTTTTTGTTTCCTCCTCTCCCTTTCCATGTCAAAATCCAACTTCTTCAACCGTATTTGTGCCTCTGTTTCCCTACAGGCATTATTCTGCTTCATTTGCTCACCAATGGTTGAAGAATCAGAAGCCACTTCTTTTCCCTTATTACGCTTGGCCTTTGCCTTTTTAACACCATCGGGTCGAGGAAGACCTCCAGAACAGAAACCCGTGGATGGTGTATCACCTTCCTATACGGTTCTACATCGCTTATCACTGCCACTACTATCATCTTCGACGGCATCACCTACAGCTAATCTTTCCTCTCTTGACAACGCCCACCTAAGTTTTGTCCTCCACTTTGGGTCATTTTTAACCATTTCCCAACCATGGTGACAATTAAAATTATGTTGAGTAGGCTTGGAGGAAGCATAGAATAACTTACTGGCGTTATTAATTCGATCTGCTTCGTTGTAGCCACTTCCTGTAACCCTTCCTGCTTCGTCATAGCAGCTACTCCATTGTATTAAATCAGCTGCCATCCTTCTCCAACGACTTTCCAAACTCCTCAAAGGTCTTAGTGGTAGAATGTGAGGTTTCTCAGCCTGCGCTTCATCATATGCTGCTGAAATTTTTCTCCAAAGCACAGATGCTTTTTGGTTTGTACCAACAATTGCATCTTCACTGAATTGCAGATACAAACCAATAAGAGTTTCATCCTCCGCAACAGACCACATTCGACTCCCTTTTGTAAGTGGTTGGTTTTGATTGACAGACACTCTTGGAGGAGGTGGAGGGTATTGTGGAGTATCTGGAACACTTTCTTCCATTTCATCTTCATATTGAGAATTGCTCCCTTGATAAACAGGAGGTGAATGTGGTGGTGGAAATTGAGGAGGTGTTTGTTGTGGTGGAAATTGAGGAGGTGTTTGTTGCGGTGGATATTGAGTAGCTATTCGTTGAAGGAAGGTTTGAAATCGAGGGTTAGTGACAAAATCATCACCCAAATCAGAAAAATAATTAGAAAAATCTGGTTTGTTAGGATCCATTAGCAAAATAATAATAATAATAATAATAATAATAATAATAATAATGATAATAATAATAATAATAACAATAACAATAATAATAATAATAATAATAATAATAATAATAATAATAACAACAACAACAATAATTATACTACTACTTTTTTTTGACAATATAATAATACGATTTTTTTCAAGGATTAATAAATTTAACAGAAATAATAATAAAGAAATTATTAATAATAATAATAATAATAATAATAATAATTATAAGAATACCAATAAAACTACTACTTTTTTTAAATTAACACTACTACTACTACTACTAGTAATAATAATAATAATTATAATAATAATAAAAATAATAATAATAATAATAATAATAATAATAATAATAATACTAAATAATAACTGAGGTTTTTTTTTTTTTTTTTACGAATAATAATAATAATAAAAATGATGAAAATAACTCAAAGAAATTGGGAAAAGAAGGAAATTTGTAGTATTTATAGGTTTTTTGAAAGTATATCAAAATATATCAAAATGCATGTCTATTTATAGAGAAAAAAAAAATCTATCCGTTGGTGAATTTTGTTTTTTTTTTTTTTTTTTTTTTATAATTACAACGGTTATATTTAACTTACAAAAATATAACCGTTGTAATAAAAGCAAAAAAATCTGATTGGTTGGAAGGATAAAGCCTGACGCGTGTCGCATCCCCATTGGCTGGGTCTGACGCGCGTCAGGCCAACTGCCCCCTATTTTTTTTTTCCCTTTTTGCCCCTCAAAACGGCGTCGTTTCACCCTTCTTTAAGGCAAAACGACGTCGTTTTGCAAGCCAGAAGGGAAAAAAAAAAAGCGAACACGCGTGTACGAGTGGGGCCCACTTGTTACTGTTCACGAGTATTTCCCCTCAACTCTTGTGCGTTTTCCATAGCTCTCAACGGTGAGGGTTTTTTCCCTCACTAACGTAATGCTTGGGTATTTTTTTTTACACCCTTATTTTTACTCGTGAGGGCTTTTCTCCTCACTGCTGTGAGTGCTCTTATCAATGCAAAGCAAGCTACTTTGTACTCATTTAACTAAAATATCTAAAATATATAGTCAACCATATTTTAAATATAATACATATCAATATCACTCATCATTCTTAAAAACTAATGAAATACTATGCTCTTAAGTCAATTCGAATGCTATGACGACCCCCATTTAATTAAACATGTTCCATGCACATCATTCAATCATCTACGTATATCTAGAATTTAGAGACATAGATGAATTGAATACATACTAAATTAAAATTTTCGAACACACAACTTCTGAACTGAAACTAGAAAACATTGACGAGTTAACTATTAGTTACATAATCTTCTCAGTTCTCATGCTGTGCTTTACAAACAATGAAGGGAAAAAAAAAAAATGATTCTACAAAATACTAATTAAATTCTTGATACTATGTACGAGTTATTATTGTAAACTAATATAAAGTGGATTAAACTAAATGAAAGGAAAAGTTAAATTAATAAATCAAGAGGAGAGTCTGAACATTACTTATTCTTGATTTGAATTGTTTTTTAAAAAATAAAAAATAAAAACCTTGCTAAATAAGCTAACAGATTGTGGAAAAAAACAAACGTGCACCAGCCGGGAATCGAACCCGGGTCTGTACCGTGGCAGGGTACTATTCTACCACTAGACCACTGGTGCTTGGATGAATATTAGTGCTTTCAGAATGCTAAATATATTCTGTACGAACTCCAATATCTGAAAAATTAATACTGTGAATAAAGAGATCAGCCAATTGATTAGCAAATATTGCACATGTTGACTTGATTTTTCATTAACAGTACATTCTTCTTTGACCATATACTTATTTTTGTGACTCACGTATAAAGAACAATATAGTCATATATAATTTTGTTGGATTCATCTCGATTGATACTTTCGAAATATAAGCTTTTATTTTTTAATTATAATTTTTACATATTGAGAATTATAATATTAAACGTGTGAAAGCGGAAATAACATAATGTGACATTTTTTTGAGGAATAACAACTATTTGTCATATATTTGTAATGTATTTAGAAACTAAAAACAACTTGTCTTATATAGTAAAAAATAAACGATGAGATAAGTTGTAGGGTTGTCAAAACAAATCCAAAAATATTAAATTCTAATAACTAAAATGATGTAAAAATAGCAATTACTCCGTAAAATTATGTACTGATTACTATTGACAACTCATTACTTTTCTGTAATGACCTGTTCTTTTTCCCTAATTAACTTATAAATTGGGATGAATTTTCTTACCTCTTCTTTTTTTCCCCAACACACATTAATGTCCCTTACCTATTCATGTACCCTTAATTGATGTCATTCTTTAAAATGGAGACAAAAACGCCGCCTAAAGACTTCTCTCCATCTAACCAACAACACCAACACCATGATCGGCACCCTTGCAAATGCACCCCGCCTAAGCCCACCTTACAAGCCTTTACGGAACGTGTAACGAACGCGTTACTCCACCATATCTTCCTCCTATATAGGTCAGACCCAGAGTTTTACGTCCTAGGAGCAACAGGTAACGTGTACATTGTTAACATATCAATAACACCCTCATGCACGTGCCCTGATCGTACCACCCCATGCAAGCACATCCTCTTTGTGCTCATCAAGGTCCTAGGGTTCCCCCTCGACGATCCAGGCTTAAGGAGGCAAACTATAAGTCCTTGCCACCTCGAGAAGCTTCAAGCCACCCCGAGCTCCCCAGTATCCCTAGCAAGCCATACACTACGCCAGAGGTTCCACCAAGTTTTTTTCTTAAAGAAAGAGTTAGGCTTACGCAATGCAAACCTAAAGCCGTGTATGAAAGCTGAGGTTGGGGGTACATGTCCGATATGCCTAGAGATGGGGAGGTCCGGGGATCGGATGGTGGCTTGCGAAACATGTAGGATTCCAATCCATGAGGAATGCTTGATGACTTGGAAGAGGACTCAAAGGAAAGAATTGACAAAATGTTTAACTTGTAGGTCACAATGGAAACAGAAAGGTGATCAACAAAGGTATTTGAATCTATCTGATTATGTTAGTGAGGATGAAACAAGTCCCAAAACCGAAAGATCGTAAAGGGTTAATGCATGCTGTGAATCCATGAAGAACATACATATATTTATTTAGTTGATCAAGTAGAAGCAGAAGATCTTTTGTTGCCGAGAAGATTCATTTTGATTTAACTTATAAACTTCAATTTATGTCCTGTAAAGTTATATTTGATCGGTAGAAGCAGAGGATCTTCCCTTGCCGAGAAGATTCATTTTGAGTTTAACTTCTTAACTTCAATTTATGTCATGTAAAGTTATGTTGTAAATGTGAATACAATGTACAAATAATGTACTACGTATATTAATTTCACTTTCTTCTCTTTTAGCTTGTACATAAATCAGACTGTATTTATTACTGTAAATATTGGACCTTAATGATAGGATTATATTTATGTACAGTAATAATGCAATAATTAGTAGCCTTCAAATACTATAATTAATACTTATTCATCAATTCATCTGTTCCTAATAGAAAATTCTATATACACCATCCTTATGTTATGCCGATACTGATTACACATGCAAAATGACCAGAAAGGGATTCTTAAAAATAGCCCACAAGGCTAAAACCAATGTAGTGTTGATGCCAAAACCTGAAGTTGTGGCGCAACAGATAACGAAACATATACAACAGCTCCTATATGTGCAGTCGAGGAAGCTTGAATCTTGTCAGTCGAGACCTTATTACATGCTCTTCCTCTAGCCCAGCCACTGGCCATTACAATAGTTCAGTAGGTTCCATCTTTCTACCAATATAATAAGCAACTCAGATAACCTGACTTGTTAAAGCCAATGCAATATATTTTTCATTGTACCCCCAAATAGTCTTCAATTACCAAACATGCTCTGAAATTCAACTCAGCGATTTCACTGTAATCAGAATCACACAATACATCCCATAATTATCTCAAGGTCATAAATTCGCAATATGAGCCACAACACTGATCTGAAAAACCCCCCAAAAGGCAAAGTTTCCCACTCAAAGGCACAAATTGAGGTATTATACCTGCAGAGCAAAAAAACCGTTCATTAGCTAAGCTTGCTACAAAACATCATCAGGATGTACAAACATCCATTGTAATGAAATTCCATAAGCAGACACTAAATTTTGGCACAAAATTCAAGGATTGTTGAATACATCATAGATTCCAAGTTTTGGCACAACTACATACACAACATAATTCCGTGAATAAAGTTGATAGTAGAGCAGCTTCACATGTCAACCATTAATCCTTGTCAAATATGATGTACAAATGTACTGTACTAAACAAGCTGGGCAAGCTGGTAACACTCTAGAGTCTACAAAGGGTACAAATTATGATACAGAGTACTAAACAAGCTGAAATCACTCTATCCCTGTCAAAACTGATGCACAGGTGACAACAATGACAGAAAAGAATATCTTACACTGTTGATGCGCGGATTACATCTTTGATGATTTTAACCCAGAAAAAAGAGCTTCGTGAAAGAAGGAAGCAATCCATATCTAAAAAACAACTTATCAAAATTGATGGTTTGTGATTGATTTTAACCTATTTGGGAAGTTGCAGCAAGAAAAATTTGCAACCTAAACCCTGAATAAACTCAAGAAAAGCAAACACAAGATATTTTTACCAAGGCAAATTAATCAAGGCTCCAAATGTCACTATTGCTAATTAGCTCATGCAGTAATCATTAATTCGAGATTTATACATGAATTCAAACAAATGGTACACTTGGGTGTAGGAATCATGCATTGATGGTCATATAAGCACTTTTACATCTTAATGATTCTCAATTGCCTTCCTTCAGCATCTCCACTTGATGGACACCTATGTTCTATTTTTTTTGTTTATCAAAGACCCAAGGAGAAAAGAGAAAGAAAAAAGACTAAAACTAACTTCAAGTATTGCACTCGAAAATTGCAAAATAATCCGAAGCATGATAATTTAAGAGGTACAAAAAGTGTAAAGGCAATCGCTGCAACACTCAAAGCATGTAAGAGGGAAACAACTGAGGCTGTGAATACAGAAGACAGCAGCAAAAGAGCAAACTATCCATATCCAAACAGCCACATGAGTGTGAATCTATAGAAATGGTGATGAAAGTAGTGGGAGTGCTCATACCCTCAGTCCTGTTTTAGATACAAAAGCACCAAACAACGAACGGAAATTTCCTAAATTGATTCCCACTTCCAAAAGTTTGGAATATCTCGTCATCCTACTTTTATTAATTGATTACATTGAATAAGAATACACTCGTGTCTAGTCAATCCTGTCTTGGACATTTGGTGTGCTTTTGGTTAGATGTAAGAAATTGTACACTTGCACTTTTGTGAGAGATTACAATTTCCTAAAATTCTACTTGAATTTCCTAGGAACTATAAACTTGGTTAATTCATTGCATTCTACTTCCGGGTTCCCATGGAACTTTGAAGTTCCACTTACCTTATGATGACGGAATGACGGTGTAGAGTTTCATAAAGGTTGGAGATTTAACAGTAGAAAGGGCCAGGCAAAGTGTACAATTACTCACTACCATTGGCAATAAAAGTACGTCTGACCACTGTATTTTGTGTTGTAATTTATAAGTGCTATGCATACTTGATTAGCTAGCAACATACGTCGTCATTACCATTAATAAACCAAGGCCATAATTCGTCAATGTGCAAGACATGACAAAGGGAAAACCCAGTAGAGCAGGAAAAGAAAATTAAAAGAATAATTATAACACTCCTTGATTTCGGTAGAACATGCTTTCTTAATGCTATAGAAAGTTTGATCAGACATGTTAGTAATGAATCATGTCATTTCAATAAGAAATCATTCCCTTTGTGCTTATACATGCAGCTTTTCACAGTTTGTAATCCTCAAGCTTCCATCCTTGCCTTCTTCTTGCCTTTTATAAAAAAGTGTTAGGAGTAATAACTAATCCTTATTTCGTTCTTCCATTTCTTTCAATCAACGAAATTAGCTCACTTTGACCTCCAAAATTCAAAAATACAAAGAACATAAAAGCCATAGGCCCAAAGCTTCACCTTTTCCCCACACCTTTCTCTAAATTAGATACTAAACAAAAGGCCACCAACCCACAAAAAAATGTCGCACAAACAAACTAAGCAGAGCACATACGAATACACAATCAACAGTCTGACGAAACAAAGCATAAACAAATAAACCCAATAACATTCATCAAAACCAACAAAGAAGCATTCAAACAAGCATATCTTTTCCTCACATATCACCATGGGACCTTACTAGGCATCAATACTGAGATTTAATTTTCAATAATCGGCACACATCATTCAAATGGATAACATAAAGAACATAAATCAGCCTACCAAACTAAGTATTCTAATATAGAAATGACAAAGAAAACAGTCAAATATACAATGCAAACTTGACATTACTTAGAAAACAGAATATGTTGATAATGTCACTTACACACCTGAAAAAACACTCCTATCTTCAACAATGTTTCTTATCTTTCTACCATCATTGTCTTTATGGCTCTCTATGCTAGACCTCGGACAAATCTCGTCTACATCATTTCCCTTTGCGGCCCTCTATACACCTCAACAATCAGATTAAAAATACAAAAATATTTCTCCATCAATTGGGTTGATTTCTATCTCCCAATAGCTCGGACCCTCTAAAATTAGTGACTTCATAACTCAAATCCAATACAGAAAGCAACCCCAATTGATTCCCAGCCAACATTTCAAACCCTAAATTCCCATTGAAAAGACCCAAACCCGAGACCCAAGAAATCAACTCACCCACCTCCTTCTTCCTCAACTTTCTCTCTCTACAAGCAATCCGGGCCGACCCAAACGGGCCCAAACACTTCTCCTTGGATAACTCCCCACATTTTTCCTTCGACCCTTGAAGACAAGCAGCCATTTCTCTCTCCTCACACTCGTTTCTCTCTTTGAAATCGATTTTCCCGAAAAGGGTCTTCCACCAAGGAGATTTACAGTTGTTTGATGCGGTTATGGAGCACCCAATTCGTACCCCTGCTTCACACAGCTCCAGAAGCTTCGACTCGCAGAATTTGAGGGAAGAGTAGAAGGATTGCGGGTTAGGGAATGCTAAGACGAATGGGCCGAGTTCCGGGTCGTCGGTCGGGCCGTCGGGAATGGGGCGGCGGAGGAGAGGAAGAGGGCGGTCGAAGTGGATGAGGGTTGCTGAGGCAGAGTAGTCTTCTTCGTTTGGTGATGGTTCTGCCATTGGTTTTGAGTTCTGTTTTGTTGAAGATGATAAATAAAATGGGGTCATTACTCATTACTCATTAGTAGATAAAGTCACCATAAAAAAATTTGGACCTAACCCTAACTTGACACAATGACACTCCTTGATTGAACTTTTTACGGTGCGCTCAAGAACGAGAGTTTATTACTGTATTATCTTTTGGGCTAACAAGTTAGGATATTTGGGCCAAACGAATAGAGTTAATTGGCTCAATTCGGTTCGGCTTGAAAATGTGTGGATTTGGACAGATCAATAATGTGTTTATGAATTCAAGTCTGATTTGAAGTTTGTGAAATTTGTATCTAAATTTGTGGGAACTTTAGAAGTCATGGATTCTTCATCACGTCATTTCTTGACTTTTTAAAATTATCTTCAAACACAAATAAAACCCTTTCCATCACCAATCACTCGCTTCTACATTTTAAGTGATGGGCCGGATTGATTTTGGGCTTTGAGAAAATAATACAACCCTCTTTTGGCCATAGCTTTGTTTTGTGGCAATCTTGAGGTTCAAGTTCTTATTTTCAACTAAAAGTTAATTTTGAGCTGTTTAAAATATTAGAAATTTTGAACAATTTAAACCAAGTTGAGATGGCACAAAATTCAGACACAAATTGAATGTTTTATTTTGGTCAAGATGCTCTGTCGGCCATTTCTGGTTTAGAGATTGACAATCACTATTTTGAGTTGGACTCTACACTTAATCAACCATTTTTTTTTCCCAATCTACTTTTTCACTTGCATAAACACATGTACAAAAGCTTGTGAGGCGAGTAATTTGAGAGAACATTCGAGAAATGAAAGTTTTATGTCCAAATTATAGGTGGGATAATTGAGCCACACCTGCTAAGCTGGCCCGAATCTTTCTCAAAACAAAACATTATTTTTTCGGATTTGTACTTTTATAGTGTAATGATAATATTAAGAGCATGGACTTTTTATAAATAAAGATAATGTAATTACAAGTCATATCAAGGGAACTACGATGGTTTTGTAGTAAATGTTTCCAACCATGAAGAAAATATTGCTGGGTTATTGTAGTGAAACTATACTTGACTACCTGTTAGTATAAATACTTTGTAACGGGTAAGAAAAATAAGGTTAGACATTACTCATAAAATATTACATGTATTAATTGACATGGTGTAGCATTGTATTCTAATACCATAATAAACACCCGTAAATCAGTAATGACGTCTAACCATTGAGCATGCCCTAAGAGTGTGAAAATTTTGGCAAAAGAAGAGGATATATTAGAAAGAAAAGAAAATACTAGTCCATCCTAACTCCTAAGCAAATCTCTCAAGATTAAGTGGAGCTAAGCAGCCTTCTCTCTATTTCTCTTTTCCTCGTTTTTTCACTCTCTGTATATGTGTTGATGTTTTCTTGCAGCGCATTTCCTCTTCCCTGAAATCGACGATAAACTCTTTCTTTCCGATCAAAGGTAACCCACTTCAAAAAATTATTCCAAGTATGAATAATGATTTTTTTTTTCTTCTTTCTTTTATACCCTTTGATGCTCTTATAAGCTTATAATTTGCATGAGTTGGTGAAGTTTTTTATTTATCTGTTTGCGTTCTCCAAATGCTAATCTTGGAGGTGGGGATTTCATGCTATGAACTGTTGATTGCCGTACTTATCTGAATTTTATTTTCAAAGATTATGAGTTGCTGGGGTTTAGGGTTTTAGGGATTTAGGGTTTTTTGACCCAATGACTCTAAATTTGCAGATTATTGTCATAGTTTGTTAATGGGTGTAGTCTATTCTCTTCGAAATTCCTCCCTTTCTTTAGAATTGCCTCAAATTGGGGGTTTTGCTTCACAATTATAACTTAAAGGTTAAATGGAGTTAAACTGGATTTGAGATCAACTTTGAAGGTTCTTTTATCTCACTGGAGATTCATTGAATTTATGATGCTTTTTGGTGTATTGTTGAGACTTGGTAGAAGGGGTTGTTTTTTGAACAATGTTGAAACTGGTACTCTTTTTTATATGCAACATCAAATGCCTATTCTTTGCGAATCTGTGGATTCTTTTTAGTTCAGTCATGAGGTATTTTTTGCTGGGAGATTCAGCTAGACAATGGCTGATGTATAAGCTCAATTCGTTATTAAGCGATGTGTCATCCTCGATATGATTTGAACTTCTAGCTCTTCTATACTCTTACATCAACTTCTAGGAAATGTACCGTCCTTGTTCTTCAGAGTTGTCCAGATGTAGCCATTCTAAACTGTACTGAGACCTATCACTGATTAATCTTGGGCTTTCTTAAAGTGCATGGAGGAGGAATAGAAGTAATCTTGATTGTACCTATTTGGTAAAAGGCCTGATTTGTGTTATAACTTTTATTTAGTAGTATGCTCCTGGTTCTTCATCAACTGATGTTGCGGACTCTTAGTAAATCTGCACTTCATGATAATCATCCTTCAGCCTGCAAGTCTAGAGAGAGAAATTTGTAGCATATTTTCTTGGAAAACAAAATAGGAACAAACTCAATTTGATAGAAAATGGATGCATGGTGGTTGTTTCTAACCAAGCCCTGCCTCTGTCCAGTGGACATTTTTGTGAAGGATATAACATGCACATGCTACCAGTGTTGTTTTCCTTTGCTGAAGCTTTCTCAAACCTTATGTTTTCAACTTGAAAGTTTTAACCACACTTTTAAAACTTTCTTGAATTTTATTTTTGATTTTCTTGTAAAACTCTCTCAATTTTTCTTAAATGCTCTTTTGTTTACTCACTTTACTGACCTTTTTTTCAAACTCTTTTAAATGATGGTTTTGTTATTTCCGTTTCTTTATATTGTGCGATTCCTTATGACGATTCATGTTAGCCGACCCCAAATCATTTTGGGACTAAGGCTTTGTTGTTATTGTTGTTGTATATGACATGCTACCAGTGCTTACATGCAAATGCTGAGTCCAGTAAATATGACATGCTACCTGTGCATATATGCCAATGCCAGGACCAGTGCATAAAGGGAGCACTATCTGGCTAGGCAAGCAACTTAATGCTGAGGCTGAGTACTGTAAGCCTGTTAGGTTAATGTATCCATGTAGGTAGTTAGATATGGCATGTATTTTGTCTATCGTGTTTCTAATCTGACATTGTTTGGCAACATATGCAGATATGCTAGCTATTAGCTTTCATTTTGTTGAAGTGTATGCATCACTGTTTCTAAATTCTAATTGCTTCAAAGCCTATAATTACAGAAAGCGGTAATATATTTATGCTGTTGGATAAAGTTCTTATCTTGTAAAAGGTGGAGATTGTTGATGACTAGCTAGCATCTGACTCTGTTGTATATCTTGATAATAACACTATATCTGAAATGAACTTCCTTTTTAGGTTCTGCAGTCTTAAGGGGATATGGCCAAGAAAAAAAACCCTCAAGTGTTTTTAGATGTATCAATTGGTGGGGATCCTGTCCAAAGAATTGTTATTGAGGTAATTTGAATATAATTACACCTGTTTCTAATATTGCACATGTGCAGGGTTCTGGTGATATAGCATATAGGCATTCTCATTTTCTATATGTAGATATCTGTTGTATGTAATTTTTTTAACATGTGACTATGACCTGCAGCTTTATGCAGATGTTGTTCCTAAAACTGCAGAAAATTTCCGAGCACTCTGCACAGGTCTTTTTCTTTCCAAAACCTTTATCTTAGGGTACTTGTAATTAGTCTTTCCACTAGGTTACTTGTGCAATGCACGAAAATGTTTGCAAAAATTATGTGTCACAGAGAAATTATAACTCCTCGTGTATAGTAATCATAATGAAGATTTTACAAATTAATGACATAGTGCTCATTATGAAAAATGGTAAAAGGGAAAAACTCAATATAAATGAAGGTAAATACATAAAAACACGACGTATATTTACGAAGTATAAAATAAGAAAAATATAGGAAGTGTTTGGTAAAGTGTTGCAATCTTGCAATAAACGTGCATAGAAAAGTATAGAATCATTAGTGTATTCTGGAAGATTAAAATAGAGTATAAATTCGCTTAGATGGGAAAAGAAGACTTAAGGAGAAACTTCCATGTGGATAATGGTTTCGACTTTTGTTTCCTATCTAAGATATTTAACTGGGCATCCTTTCTGTCTTATATTTTAATTGCAATGAGCTAATGACAACATACCTGTGGATGCTTTTACTGTTTCAGGCGAAAAAGGTGTGGGAGCTACTACAGGGAAACTATTGCACTTCAAGGGATCAAATTTTCACCGCATAATCAAAGGATTTATGGCCCAAGTACTTCCTTAATTTTTTGCTATTTCCTTTGTGTTTTCCCAATGGATGTGCATTGAACTTTCGAGAAGCTTCATGTCTTTGTAGTTGTGCAATATTGCCTTTGGCTTCTCTTTCCTACATGTAATTCTGTTGAACTATCTCAGCAATTTTACATCAGTTATGGTTTGTGTTTTCTAATTGTTTGTGTGAGTTGTTGGTTTTCCTTAGAATTATTAGCTATAACATAGGAGCCGGAACACATCAAACTGGCTAGTAATCCTAGTATATCCACTCCTTCATATAATTGTTTTGAATAACATAATTGGTTATGATAGTTTGGGTCTTGGGATTTAAGAACTCCATGCCATGAGCTGGCTGATACTTCCAAGATAGTGAGCTTTGTTTTTAGTAGGATGATTATTATTGCATAATATGCTTGTCAACAGTAGCTGTGGGTGTATGTTCTTGTTTCCCACCCTTTTTTTTCTTCCCTCCTTTTTCTTATATATAAACATATATTCCCGATGTCAAGGGTTGATGATAGGAGTTTTTTTTTTTGTTTTTTTGTTTTTTTTTTTTTTTTAAAATCAACAATGGGATGTATGCATTGCTTTGGTAGTTACTGAATAAGGCCTGTTTTGAATGTAATCTGTGATTATCTGTCACACCCATGCATGTGATATATATTTATCTGAGTTTCCATCTTTCCAATTCCTTGTTGTTGGTTCCTGATTACTTATGCCTTGTCCTTTAAACAACTCATATCACCGGAACTCTGACAATTTTGCATATTGTACAGGGGGGTGATTTTTCAAAGGGAGATGGTACGGTCCATATACTTCTATTGATCCCTTTGCCTTAATATTTGATTGGTGCAGATTTCTGTTTAACTTATATGTTTATGCCCAGATGTAAGGAACAAAATTTTACTGCTTTGCAGGCACTGGTGGAGAAAGTATCTATGGTGGCAAGTTTGCAGGTACCACTCATATATCTAAGTGCATATAACTGGTGGCCTTTGGTCTTGGTTATATAATTTTTTTTTATTTTTTTTTTTTTTTTTTTTTTTTTGACAGATGAGAATTTCAAATTGGAGCATAGTGAACCTGGACTTCTCTCTATGGCAAATTGTGGTCGTGATACCAATGGATCCCAGTTTTTTATAACCTTCAAGCGTACACCTCATCTTGATGGGTACGTGCGTATCTTTACTATTTCTTCTTCAAACTTTAACTATGTGAATACGACATGTGTACACCTACATTTGAATTTGATGAATGTTTGACCTATTGCATGGCAGGAAGCATGTTATTTTTGGAAAGGTTGTGGAGGGAATGGATGTTGTGAAGAAAATGGAACAGTTTGGAACTTCTGAGGGACGGCCTATTGAGCAAGTCAAAATAGTTGATTGTGGCGAAGTTTCCTCTGGTAAAAAAGAAACTGCAGTTAGGACTGAGAAAGGTGAGATTAGAAATGTGTTAATATGGGATCTAGTGTTAGGCTGTATACTTCATACGCTGTAGCTTCCCTTGGTGCTGATTATGGGTATCTCTTTTAGGTAAAGTTAAAAAAATGAAAAAACTTCCAAGTTCTGATGATAGTTCAGATGGCAAAGCTAGAGGACGACATAGGAGATTTCCAAAAGACAGGAGGAGAAAGAAGAGGAAATACTCTTCATCTGACTCATATAGTAGCTCGTCATCTGATCAATCTGATTCAGATTCCGATTCCTACACTTCAGACTCAGATTCTGGTTCAGAATCCGATGCCTCCTTATCTGACTCCAGCTCATCCAGTGATGATAGGCGCCGGAAGAGAAAGAGATCTTCAAAAGGCCCGAAGCGGGTGCGGAAAAAGAGTAGGGGGAGCAGCAAGAAAAGTCGACGTAATGGGAAGAAATCTAGACGAAAGTCTAACCGGTGCGTATATGATAAAACCTCCCTTATATCTTCTGTTAGTTACCTTGCATTATGATTTTCTACTCTTCATATCATTACCTTGCATTATGATGCTCTACTCTCCATATCTGTATGCAGGAGTTCTGAAAGCTCCAGTGACAGTGAAACGACTAGTGGCTCTGAGGAAGAAAAGTCTAGACATCGCGATTCTTCAAGTAAGATGATATGATTGTCATGTTCCGTGTGCTGCCTGGACACTTATCTTCTGCTTCTGCATTCTATTTCTTGCCATCAGTTACATATGATTGAACTTTTGCAAATTTTTTATTTTAGGGTTTATGAAATGCGAAGTATGTAGTATATATTCTTTTCAAGTCTTTGCTTGTTGATGTTCCAGAGTTGAAGAAGAAATCTTCCATGTCTATTGAGGAACAACAACAAAAGGCTCATGTGCAGAAAGCAGAGGTGGAGAGTGAATTTTCTCGAAGGACTGAACATATTTCAAACAATGCAAATGGCAGGGAAATGAAGTCTGAGAAACTTAAAGAGTCATCCTATGATGGAAGCAGAGAGAAACCTAGGTTAGTCACTGAATAACCTCTTGCTTGCATAGCTTCACTTTGTTTGGAAAGTTTTTGTAGGTTTATGCTTGGATATATACATTGTCGAATGAGGCTGAAAATTTCTCATTTTGTGAAGTGTACTTATTAGATAATAATTTTGCTATCGGAATACTCTTATCAGGTCCCAGTCTCCTAGTCCAAAGAAAATTCAAGAAATTAGCCCAAGGCGAGACACTAGTTTAAGCCCCTATAAAGGGCATGATGGGAGTCCTGAACCACAGCATGAGAATAAAGTTCCTGCCGAGGAGCCTGTTTTACCTCTGGCTTCTGCTCAGAATCAAGAAGTGTCAAAATCTACGCCTGAAAATGATAATGGTGAACCTAAGCGCCTTAGAAAGGGACGAGGATTCACTGAGAAGTTCGCCTTTGCACGCCGATACAGAACCCCTTCTCCAGAGCGCTCACCTCGTAGGCCATTCAATTATGGTGGTAGGAATTATTATGACAGGAACCGTGATAGGTAAGTGTGTTGGTTCTGAGCTTGAATAGAAAAGTAGACTACCTCGTAGCTAACCTCTCCTTGTTTGCACAGGTTTTCGAGCTACAGAGGTGGATCAGATCGTTCACCTCGCCGTCGTTACAGGAGCCCTCCAAGAAGAAGATCCCCTAGGTTCTCTCTCTATCTCTCTCTCTCATAACTTAGCTTTATAGTGTGAGTTTAAATGACAATTTATGTTCCTGTTTATAGATGTGTCTCTGTTTTTTTAATGTATTGATAACTGATTTTGGCATGGTCCCAATGTAATTATGATTCAGGAGGAGTCGAAGTCCTTCCCACAGTCCAAATGACACACGTGGACCCAGGCGGAATCGGAGCCGGAGTCCAGCACATGGTTCCAGTCTAAGGCGGGATAGGAGCCGGAGTCCAGTTCGTGGCTCCAGTCCAAAGGAGAGACGCCCAGAAATCAGTGATAGGCTAAGATCTCGTCTTGGCCCCCGAGCAGATAATCAACGTTCTCCAGTAAAAGCAAGATCAAGACCTAGATCAAGGTCCAGGGGACGCAGCTCATCCCGTTCAAGCTCACCCAATGATGGTTCACTTAAGCACCGGAAGAGAGGGTCTGCATCTCCTACCAAGTCAACCTCAAGCTCACCTGTCGGGCAGAAAGGTCTGGTAGCCTATGGAGATGCTAGCCCTGATGCTGCATCAACATAGATATATGCTACGGAAACTATGTCAATGTTAAATTGTTCCATTTCCCGTCAAAAAAAAAAAAATGTTAAATTGTTAGTTGAAATTTGGGGAACTTGGTTTACGTGGCACTTTTGATATTCTGCCTTGGTTCAAATTTTAGCATGTTTCTGGTGGTTTTTCAGGCTTTGGCCATTTAAACGCAGCATCTGCATCATTCTTAAACCTTCGTTCCTTGCAACCTTTTTTTTTGAAAAAAAAAAATTCAATTATGTTAGGCAAGGAGATCTAGGATACAGTTTAGAACTTGGTAATTTGTGATGAAACAGAGAGATAGGTAGTGCTTAACGTATTGGGTCTTGAGTCTTGACCCTCTTGGGTGAGAATTTAGTGTCTGTTTCCAAACTACACTGAGTTTTTCCTGCCTCAGGTGTGTGTATGCGTTTTACTTGTATTGTCCTCGGCTTAATTTAAGGCTACCATACTAATTTGATGACGTTTGATTCAGGAACTATGGTAACTTCGGTAGATTTTGACGTCGATGACAACTGTGTTGCTACTTGCTATCTTATTTGACCAACACCCTTATGGGGGGGATCTAGGTAGCGCACAGTTGCGCACTGTCACCTGACTTCTGGTTTATCCCATACAACTAGACACTAGTTGTGCTTACCAAGAAAAGAACCGATTAGCTTCCCCGTCAAATTAACCTATAACGTACATGTCTCTCTTCCACTAATTCAAGGCCACAACAACCTTAATTCAAGGCCACAACAACCTTTATTTGACTGACGAATGGTTATATTTGGGTCCAAATAACATTATACTCTTTCATCAATTGAGTTTTCAACAAGTCACCAAATCATGAAAATGATCCGATTTCATTTATTATAAGCCTTAAATTTAGCATTTGAAAAACATTTTTAAACTCGGCAATATTAGGCGCCGAGGTGCTTCCTAATAACGTTCCCAACAGTCTTAACTTGGTACCTAGAATCATCTAATTCTTACCTTGGCCGGTTGGGCCCACCCCTCGTGATTATGGCTTAAGATGCATTGGCCTTGCCTTCCTTGGCCCTAAGGCCATGGCGTGCCTTGGTTGGGCCGCAGCAAAATCAGACGTAAAAAAGCTCTTGTTCAGTTGTTCTGTTGTTCCCGTGTATGTAGCAGCTATGTCAATGGAACTCGAGATTGCTAAAATGACAATGAACCTTAGTCTCATTTTTCTTTACTTCTCCCTTCCTTGAATAGCTTTCTTTGTTACTACCTCCTTTTTGAGAAAACTCTTTCCCTTCGTTACGTTACCTTAGACTAGCAACAATTTCTCTTACTTATTGGTCATGAGTTCACGACATAACTTGAGACTTAGTGAAATTTTTTTTGATGTAACAAAGAAAAGGTTTAATCCCATGCAATTTTTCAGGTTTGGAATAAATGCAATGAAGATATCAAATTGGTGAGGGATAACCGACTGATAAGTCCAATTCTCATGTTCTTCAAAACAAACACTAAATTTCTTCATCTCCACCACCTTGTCCAAATCCCTTCCTCTCCCTAGTAAAAATACAAGATACATTTAAGTTTAGTATTTGTCGATAAGACAATCAGTCCAAGAACTTGGGCGAAACTCGTAGCCATGAACAATACTCATTCGCTAGATCTTGGATAGATAGACCTGTTTTCTACTATACCCTCTTGGTTCGAAGGCTTAAAAAAAGAAATCCCATTGCCAAGCCTTCGTTTGTAAAGATGACCGTTACGGTTATTTGTTCTTAGTACATCATATGCAAACTTGAGTAGTTGCTCTAATACTGGACATATGAGCTGACAACCGCACTAACGGAAATTTAGTGCATAGTTTTTCAGCTAACTACTTCAAAATGCAATGAGACTTATCAAATGGTTTTAGATTCTCTAATTACATACTATCAAGTACCAACAAGATCTACATAATTATTAAAATGTTTTAAGCTTTGAAAACAACCTCGCTCACGAGCAGCTCTTCATGTTTGAACTTGCAAGCCCCTTGCTCTCATATCCCTTATATTGGTAGTCCCTTTGGAACAATTTTGTCTTTGATCCACATGTAAATAGGAACCAGTAAATAGTATGTCGATGCCAAAACTCCAAGGATGAATCGGTAGAGAAATACATGTAGAGGCACTGGTTTTTGGACATCCTCAGCTTTTGGACCAAGCTGCATCACATATATATTAAATGAGAATCAAGATAAAGAGAATGAAACTCTAAACTTGTACCAGTACCAAAGTATTGCATAATACAGTACATAATAATAGATCTTGTTTCAAATCGTCGATCTGGTGGCAAAAAGTGGGTGGTGGTGGTGTAAATGTGGGAGGTGATGACCCACTTTTATACCACAAAAAGAGGGGGTGTGCTTTTGTAAAAATGAGAACGTATGCCTAAAATTCTTCCTCCTATGGATCACCTCCTATGGTGCATACGATCAGATTTCCTTAATCGGGAGCAAAATAGATCATACATTCATACACGAAAGCTCTGGTCTACAAGTGAAGCACCCTCAAACATATTTCCTCAAAAATTGAAATGCAAATTAGTCCCAAAATGATTTGGGATCAGCAAGCATGAATCGTGGAATGCAACCATGAAATAAAAGTAAAAATTAAAACACGTCAAAATAGACCAACAGGTTCATCCTCTAGCCAAATCAAATCAGAACAAGTTGAACGCACATCAGTTTCCCAGTGGCATGGACAATCTATAACTGGGACTTAAATGTACTCTGTTTATACTCATAAGTGTATAATTGCATCCAAAGTAACAATAAAAGTTAATATAAAAACAAAAAATCTGCAAGAGACAAGCATCCTTCTACCCTAGCTCAATCAACATAAATATCATATGCAAGTATAGAAAGACTAAATACCTGCAAGGGTGAATCTCCCGAGGCAGGTTTTACACCTGTTACAGAACAGCCCATAATGAGGCCATGGCGCCGAACCCCACGGTACCACTTAGGGCCAATCCTTTTCAGTTGAACATCTTTGAAACCTGCTTTCTCAAACCACTCAATATACTCTTCCTCCTTTGGGAAGAGCATCCAGACATCCGCAAAGAAGCGAGATAGCCAAAATGTTGGATAAACAGGACCAATCAAACATGCTTTCCCTCCCAATTTCAGCACCCTGTATGCTTCCCTTATGCCCCGTTGTGGATCAGGCCAGTACTCAATACTGAGATCAATGGATCAAAAGGCAGCACAAAAGTTAACTCATGCTTTATGGTACCCACCACATATGTACATTCCTTGGACAAATTACTAAACAAACAACACAGGCATACAAGATACAACCTCTTATGCAATTTCAAAATTCAATGATTTCAGCATGTCTCGCCAATGCATGTTCAAAACTTTTTCATCCCTCTTATGAACACATAATTCAAATCCACATCATACATCAATTCAGCAGAAATTAACAATTGAAACAAACGAAAAATAATACTTAAAAAGACACAAGCAGGCACACAACCTCTTAAGGCTTTAGCACCTCCAAGACTTATTCATGTCTTGCCAATGCATATTTCTTATACTTGTAATAGATATGTAATGATTCCACATTATATACAAATACATGACAGAGTACTGGCTCAGCACCCCTATTAAAGCATTGTCCAGAAATCGGTCTACAACTTTCCCAATTTTCTCAATTCACATAACGAGAAAATACCACTTTATCACCTTGATAAACAAATCTCATATAACATTATTATCACTTTATATGCTTCTTTTTCATGATCCAAAAGTTATACACTACGTAGCATCTTAAGTGATAATAAGACCTCAATTAGCAAGCTTTCTAGGTCACATGCACATTAATTTTGTAGAAATCATACCACACATTGTTAAATCACACTATAACCAACAATTACATAACTCAAGAAAAATGCACATCAATTCCAGAAGTAAACTACACAAACACCCAAAAATTAGAACCAAAGCATGCATAGATTACAAGAAACTGAAAAAATTGAACCAACATATAGATAACTTAATGAATAGTTATATACCTTCCAGCAGAAACATATCTATCAGCATAATCAGTAGGAAAAGGGAGATCCTCAGCATCACCCTCAATAATCTTACATTCCTTCAAAGGCTCTTTCTCTTTCGCTTTCGCCAATTGATGGGGTGATTGATCCAAAATGGTGACATTCTTAGCATCAACATGCTTAACAATACCTAAAGTAGTGAACCCAGTTCCACCCCCAACATCAACAACCAACATATTCCTGTTATTCAAATCTGCTGGTTCTAAAGCTTCATCCCTCATATCCTCTGTCCAATGCGGAGGATTTACAATGTTATCATACACAATTGACAGGAATCTGTAAAACCAAAATGCCTCTTTTTTGTTCTGTATAAATCTGGGTTGTGAAGCAGGCCTTGAAGAGGCTGAAAGACTGCATTTTGGGGTTAAAGTTAGGGTTTTGGACCTTAAATTTCTGGAATTTGGGGGTAAACTCAATCTGGGTAATTGGTATTTTCCATTAAAATCAGACCCAGAAAATCCCAATCTATTTGGGGTTGTCCCGCTGATTAGGGCAAGTTTATCAACCCCATTTAGCATTGAACAAGCCATGATTGAAATGAAATGAAAAATCACTGCAAAAACAAAAACCCAGAAACAAAATTCAGATTAAATTACTAAAGAATGACATGAATGAACAAATTGAAGAGAGAAAGGAGTGAACTTACCAACCAAAGAAGAAGGAAGTGAGGAGAGAGAAAGAGAGAGAGCACTAAATTAGCACCATAGATACTGTTATATGGACTGAAATGATGCAGAGTGGCCCTCTCGTTCTATCACTTGTGATAGCCAGTAATCAGTATTTTGCTCGAGTAATCCGCCAACTATATTACTCACTAATCAATTTGGCCACTCTGCATCATTGATTTTTGTGATAAATGTCGAATTAGTCATTGGTTTTTGATAAATGTGATTTTAGTCAGTAGTCACTTGTGAGAGCACTAAACTGTATTACTTACTGTATTATGTGATAAATGACGAATTAGTCATTGATTTTTGATTTTAATTAATGTGATTGACATTGTCACGTTCTAAACAGTCCTTTAGAGTCTAGACTACTGGGTTGATTGTTGATAACTTGATCACCCTTTGTCCCTTTGTTAGGACTTAGGACTTACTCTCTATGTTTTTATTTAAGTGCTACATCTTGGTTTAGCACGTATGCTGATGTAGAATTTTAAATAATAAGTGTCTTTAATTATAACAATTGAAAGTTTATAAATTATTAATTGAAACGATTATAAAATTATTTATTCATTAAGAATAAATTATATAAAACAAAAGTGATATTTGGAAAAAATATTAAAACGATTCTAACAAGTACCAATTATGTTTAATCTTATGAATAAAGCACCAATCGAGGTCAAAGTACTACATGTGCATAGTATAAAATTTTAATTGATACACTTATTTGAAACGGAAGGAATATGATGCAACTAGAATTGTCAATTTCAGGACCCGATCCAACCCGAATTCAAACTAAAGTTGCTGAGAGAGCACCCGACCCGACTCAACGGCCTGAAATCAACCCGATTTGACTTTTTTTATCATGCTTCCTCACTTTTTTTTAATGCATCCCTTTTGTTTCCACGGACTTCTAGGGAATTTCTGGAGCACAATAGAGATAGAGAGAACAAATAAATGAGGCCCACGTGGTTGGAGAAAGATAGAGAGAAATATTAGTTAAAAAGGAAAGTGATGCAACTAATTTAAAACTTTCTTTTTAGAAAAGTGATGCAACTAATTTAAAACTTTCTTTTTAGAAAAGTGATGCAACTAATTTAAAACTTTCTTTTTAGAAAAGTGATGCAACTAATTTAAAACTTGTTTTTAAGAAAAGTGATGCAACTAAAAAAAAACGAAGAAAGTATTTTATAATGATTCAAAGATTTCAATCGATCCAAAATGGCGAAATATAATCCGAACCTTATGACCCAAAATGACAGGTCTAGATTGCAAGCTTATTTTCAGCTCAAATACAAACCCGTTGTGGGCTAAATTAATAATGTGGTCGATGGATAGATGACATTACGTGGCCAGATAAATTATTGGGCATACAATTAGAAACAATGATGGGCCAACTCTTTCTATGAAGCCTACTGGGCTATTGTTTTCAGGTTGGACAATGAGCCCATTGACTCCATTTCATTTCAGCTACTGGGCCATCCCTATTTGGCCTATGTCTGTATGCATTTGTATATTGGTGAAAATGAACATTGTATGGCATGATTTCTCTTGATAAATCCAACAATTGGTGAAAATGTAAATAAAGATCTACCATCTTAGATTAATGAAGGCTACTTTTTTTTATTTTTTTAATACCAGGCATCATAAATGTTGCATCATTAAATTTCTTTTATGGTTGAAACATTACCGCATACAAAAATCATTATTGACGTGTTCATTTTAGTGAATTTGGATGAAGAACTTGTGTTAATGTTTTACATCCTCTTTTACATGAGAGTAAGTGTCTATTGTTGTAGATGTCTAGATGATATATGATGGGCACGACTATATTATATTGATTCGATCTCCTACCCTCTTTAAAAAAATCCATAATCCCCATTTTACTTGATTTATCTAAAAAAAATTAACTAAATTTATCATTGTTTTTACAATGATCGACATTATCTTCATTTATTTTTGTTTCTCATTTACTTGCTTCCACCATGAAGAATCTATGAATCCATCAACAAAAATTTAATCCCTGTCAAATTTTAAATGAAACTGGCTTGCCCTTATTACTGAGTACATTTATATTTGATTTATATGGAATAAATAATTTAAAAAAATATATTTCCTCAAAAAAAAAAAAAAAATTGTATAATAAACACCGTAGTAGTATAGTACAGTGAATAAAATAAAGGCATAGACTGACAAATTACTGCACAAAAGAGTATAAATAAATCTGCAAAAATGTGATTAGTCTAAAGTATACCTCAGAATTACATCATCAAACAACAATTATTTATATATATAATCCCTCAGATAGCAAGGACTAATGCATACTACTGATGAACATACTGTACTCTCTTACACTTATATTTATGTTTAATTTCATAAGCTAAAGTTTTAGCTACGATTGCCTTAAACTTTGTACTAATTCATCAACTTGGGAGCTGAGTCCAAGTTAATTGCCTCCTTAAATGAAGTGAATGGCATCATCATACATCACTAATAAGGTACTAATTAAACTATATATTTTCATATTTTACAAGTACATAACTATTTTAATATTCTATGCATATAGTATATTTTATATAGTATAGTTTAAAGTAGTCAAATAGTATATGTGAGACAGTGAGAGTGAGGGAGATTAGGAGGGGAGGCATGTGATTAAGGGAAGTTCCCAAGCTAATTGCCAGCCTAGAAGACCATTAAAAGACCCTTTCTAACATCTTACTCACTTTTTCATGTTTGACTAGCTACCACAAACAAAACCTTAAAGATCGATGTTTAATAAAATTAAGATTAAGTTATTTATTAGAGCATTATTTTATGATAACTTTGATGATCAAAATAATACGTTATACAACAAACAAAGTTTTGAGATATTGTAGTGGACACCAATTTACAATTTTACCTTTTGAGTTCTTTTGCGTGTGTTGCATGGAAACGGATACAAGCACACAGGTTTGATCTATTATGCATTTTGCGCTTATAAGTTGCAATTTTGAATATTTTTTCTCTAATAATGCATTTGTTTGTCTAAGAGGTAGTAGATACTTAGGTAGTTAAGTATTGAGCACACAATATATCTTACCTACTAAATATAGTATATAGTTGTAGGAAATATATTATTTGCTACTTGATGACTTACCATTAATAATATTCGAGAATGACGTTAAGTATATGCTAGCTACTATCCTAGGTATACCCTATGCACGATTCTAATCTCACATTGATTTCATTATTGCACTCTTATCTAGCTAACTAAGAGATTAATTAAGATTTTTATATAATTATAAGGTAGTTGTTGCTTCTGTAATTCTACAACTTGACGCAATTAACATGCACAAGTTACATATAAATATCAATTCACACTTATAGAGAGGACAAAAGTACGGTACTAACTAATTAGGCAAGAAATTTACTACGTATCAACTTGCATAGTTAGTTGCATGCATCAAGTGGTTTGCTAAGTAAGAATGTTTTAGTTATATTACCAGCCACTTTGACTTTCTCTGATTAGGTTTAGGTGGACTACAATCTTAGCTGTTAGTTTATCAAGCTAGAATCAACAAGTTGTGTGAAATTAAAAATACTACACGACATTTTTAATTGGATTTAAATTGTAAATGAAAGAGAGTCGTAAAGAATATTAATGTTTACAAAAAAAAAAAAAAAAAAAAAAAAATTAATAATAATAATAATAATAATAATAATAATAGGCATGATGTGCACGAGTTAATGACATTGCAATTGTGAGATTGAAATTGGGGTGTGATATAGTTGTATGGGTCCAATAATGACATGAACTAGACCTGACCAAGTAAGTTTTGAATTGATCCTTTGTCTCAAAACTCCTTAGAATCCAAAGCCCAACATTCATTTACACTTGTAATTTGTAAGGCTACCTAAATTGCTATACTCTTAAGAATGAATACTCTATAGACTCAAATCTATACCTAGTCAATAAAAACTCGAACATAAACGAACATGAGTTATCAACTCCTTCCAAAAATCCATATATTTTCATCCCGAGCCTTTCTCCTATCCTTTTTTATTTTTAGAATCACTTTTAGTTTCTTTTAATGATACAACTCATAAGTTGTGCATTAACCCGTGTTGGTGTGCATGAGTAATGAAATTAGCTCATTATGTTTCATTAACTAATTTGAAATTTCTAACACAAATTACATGAATCTATATGATCAATTCAATTTATCAAGTTTGTACAAGTATTCATGTGGATGTAATATTCCCTCCTCTGACTTTGGATCAAGAAAATCTTATTTATGCCTATCATGTGCATAAGTTCTGCAAGATTAGCTAATTGTAATTACTTATCTTTTGATTAACTGACACAATTGGTTCCAAATAACTAATTTATCTCATCCTTTTAAATTTATAAATTATCATCCTATCACTATAATTAAATATAGTTTATACCTTCACCATTACTAGACAAACATGCCAACTGCTGCTACTGAATCACTGTTCATCTCATTTACTTCCCTTCTTTTAATTTCCTTATTTTCTCTCATCATACCTTTTCGTTCACTACATTAATTATATAAGTCGAATTTTCAAGAATAGAGTGATATTGATGTACTAAATTTCGTAGTGGATATATGAATGATTAATTACTCCATACCAAAGAGGCAAATTTCAGAGAGGAACAGTACAATTTCCTAAGCATTATATTGAGTATGGAAGTGCTTTGGTCACAGATAATATTGGTTTGACCTAAAACATGAAAAATTTCAATATTCACTGAAAGTAGTCATATTTTTATTTTTCTAAATGTAAATTATTTACCATAAGATAAAAATAAATGGAATAATAGAGATAGAGCAGTCTTCAAGGTGGTCCAAGTACTAAAATCTAGAAATGGGGAGGAATCAGAATCCCATATCTGTTGATGATTGAAGCAGCATTCCCAAACCCACTTTTATCCAATCAATTAATTTGTTGCTAACAAACAAAAATTATACTTGATCTTATAACAGTACATTAATGCAATAGGCACCTACTATACTTAAATTCTTAATTAACCTAACTCCTCTTCAAAGGACTTTAGGGTATAATTACCTTTCTTGCATGCGTATAGTAAATACTTCGTACTTATTATTTGTACGATTTTCTTTTTATAGGTGCTCTATTTTGACTCTTGCGACATTTATATATTGACTTATGGA